CATTGGCTAATAACCAAGTGCAGATTTGACCTGAAGCTGATTCTTATTTCACAAGGTCACTGGAATAAATCAGAAAATGAGAAAACTGCCAGCTCTTTTGCCTAGTTGGTACATGTTCCTCTCTTTCCTTTGCTTGTCCTCTCTGGCCTGGTACATAATGCCATAACCCAGGGCTAGTGATTTCCATCCTCACCTCTTAAAACTATCTGGGTTACTTCCTCTATCCACTTTCCTACGGATTCTTACCACAGCTTTCAGGACTACTGTTGCCTTTATTATCTTAATTGGTAGCTCTTGATGCAGTTATCCGAGAATAAACCACAAGCTTCACTCTGGACCTATTGAATCAGAGCCCCCTGAGATCCGCACAGGACTGTTACATGCACTCTTACCAAATTCCCAGATAATTCTGATACACTGTCCTGGTTTAGAACCTCTCAGCCATTTATGACCTTATGGTACAGGCTAGCTGTCCACTATGCCTTGACCTTCACTGGAATATACGACTGACAAGATAATTCGATTTCAAATGTATTTTTGTTCCTATGTTAGATATAATGTGCTTCCTTTTCAAAAGGGAATTATACCCAAGAATATTAACATTCTTAAGACTGTAAGTCTTAAGAGAAAACAAAAGTACAGGAAATTTTATATTTCGTCAAATCTAATTCCCTGATGTATGTAACACTCACTAAATTTTCTATCCATGTTTAAAATTCACATTTATGTAATTTCAGCAAGTGTGATAACACATTCTTTTATCTCTCAGCATTCCCTCGGCAGATCTTTCATTCGCCTATTTAAGTTTTATTAAGTTTCAGGTCACCCAAGTATAGTATTTAGAAAAAATTTAAAAAGAAAAAAAAATGAAAAAAGAAGGTAAAAAAAAAGTTTTATTAAGTTAGCATACTTTCCTAACATGTTGAACAAATGCTAGTGAAAAAACGGTGACATTCAGATTACTCACTAGTTCTCTGTTAAAAGGTTACTTTAAAAAGTTATCATGTATTATCTTTAAAAAAATAAACTAGAACATTACAGGTTAAGCTAAAGTGTCTGGTGTCATCTTATAACCTGTCTCCACCATGAATTTGGCATTTGTATTTCCAGAACTTTTTACACATATAGCTCCTCAGAAATAAATGTATACATGCTGTCATTCTGCATGTGTCTACGTAAGTTTGACTGCACTATCCATGTTATTAAAAATAGAGCTGATTCTTTTCAATGTAAAAAGCTATTTATAATAACCTTTTAAAATTATCCATTCAATTTTCTTTTTTTTTTTTTGAGACAGAGTCTCACTCTATCACCCAGGCTGGAGTGCAGTGGCATGATCTCAGCTCACTGCAACATCTGTTGTCCAGGTTCAAGTGACTCTCCTGCTGCAGCCTCCCAAGTAGCTGGGATTACAGGCGCCTGCCACTGTGCCTGGCTAATTTTTATAGTTTTAGTAGAGTTGAGGTTTCAGCATCTTGGCCAGGATGGTCTTGAATTCCTGACCTTGTGATCCACACACCTCGGCTTCCGAAAGTGCTCTGATTACAGGTATGAGGCACTGCACCTGGCCTCCATCCACTTTTCAATGAGCACTCAGGCTGTTTCAGCCTGTTACTATTCCCAAGTAATAAAGAACAGTCTTGTCCATGTATATATGCAAAGGTTCCTTCAAAGTGCCTAATCAGTAAGGCATGCACATTTCCAATTCTGATTCTGCCAAATTTCCCTCCAAAGAGCCGTTCCAATTTAGTGTCCCATAAACAAATGTATTTCTCCAAATCCTCTCTGCCAATCTGCTAAGTTTTAATTTGCACTTCTTTTACAATCCCAGTTACCTATGTATTGACATAACTGGGCTCCCTGCCCTCCCTAAAATAACTACGCAATTCAGATTAATAAATTTTTCTTTTTTGAGACAGAGTTTCACTCTTGTTTCTTAGGCTGGAGTGCAACGGTGCGATCCTGGCTCACTGCAACCTCTGCAGTCACCACCACACCTGGCTAATCTTGTACTTTTAGTAGAGTTGGGGTTTCTCCATGTTGGTCAGGGTGGTCTTGAACTTCCAACTCCAGGTGATCCGCCCGCCTCGGCCTCCCACAGTGCTGGGATTATAGGCATGAACCACTGCGCCCAGCCTTAAGGAAGTTTTTTTAAACCCCTTTAAATAAACCCAACTCTTAGGTCACACAATTCTAAGACCTAGCTTTTTGAGGGGCTATTAAATGTGTTCATTAGTACTACACCATAACAAGCACTTCTGCAAAGTTTTAGTTCCTACATATTCAACAAATGTTGAATAAACGAGATGAGGCAATTTCTTCAAGGATATATCCAGTGAATAAAAAAGCTAAATTGCACTGTCCACATCATTTATTTTACCTCATTAGAGATAATAAAGCTAATTTTGTCTGATCTTCCAACCATGTGAGAGAACTTCCTTAAAAATTTTTCTAACGATGTTCATGTATAACCATGTATTACAATGATTAACCATGTAAGTATTAACCCACACTAACTCAAAATCTCTTTCGATTTTTCTTTTAAGTAAATCTCACTTCTCATTCACTCACTACTCTGCTCCACCCTTCTATTTTTTTGTCCTTTAAACTCCCAGCTTCTCCCTGCTCAGCTACTCTCTCCTGAAGAATGCTCTCCAACTGCTCTTCCTGTCACTGCCTCCTTACCTAACCCTTATGTTTTCTCTCATACTAAGCACTCAATCATTTGCTGAATGAACACTGACAGAATACTTACCAAGTTTTCTTTTTTGGAATTACTACTTCATCAATCCCTAACGTAAAAATAAAATATGAATCAATTTCCTAGTATGCAAGAGAATTCAATGTGTTGATATAAAAATGGAATTCAATAGATTTTAAAATATACCTGTTATTTCAGTTCCTTCAACCTTTGAGAAGGTTACACTTCCAGAATAAAATCTGCAAAAAATAAAAGGCTTAACGCTAATCCTCACTAATGCAGTATCCAGCTCACCTACACCTGTATGCATTTTGAGCCCACATTCTACAATTACTGCAGATTAAACTGGATAATTCATGTCATGTATGCTGAGAAGACATAGTCTGTACAGCATGTTCAATATCATTAAGGAATGGATACAAGATATGGGCAAGACTGTCAACACTTTTTTTTTTTAAGAGACAGTCTTGCTGCGTTGTCCAGCATTTAGTGCAGTGGTGCAATTACAGCTCACTGAAGCCTTGAACTCCTGGGCTCAAGCAATCCTCCTGCTTCAGCCTCCTGAAATAACAGGCATATGCCACCATGCCTGGCTGGCTGACATTTTTTGAAGCAAGCAATCTCATTATATAAATGACAGTGGGGGGAGGAAAGAAGTTTTTAATAGTACTTGAACAATCTGGTTTGAAATGCGAGGAACTTTCAACTTTGGGAACCGAATTATGACGATAAAAAGAACAACTTAGTGAGCTCTTGCTTCGGTACAGATAATGCCCTGATCAGAAAGGAGTACCTCACTTAAAGCAATTACAACATACAGAAGATCACCCATGGCTTTTCATTACACTTCCTTCAACAATCAAGAAAGTACCAAATACGTAAGGCCTGATTTAGACTTGAAATTGCTGATATTTTCTATTTTCAGAGGTTGAATATGAAATCATTTTTTAACCCAAAATATAGAATCATTGGCCCATGACTGAGTTTTTAAATGTTCTGATCACACTAAAAATAAGTCAACATGCCATACAGATAATGTACACAGTTAATATTATCTTGTGTAAATCCCCTTACTAAATGGCATTAGGGGCATCAGTAACATTCAGAAAATTGTCAAGATGTGATGGCATAGAAAGATACTTTCTCCAGTAATATCTGGTCTCAGGCATCATTTTAAAACAAGAATACCCCTCTAGGCTAAGGACATTTCAGAAAGAGACCAACTCTTTCAAGTCATGCTGCTTGTTTCTCCTGAGAACAGAGATAATGGTTATTTTGAGAATGGATGCTGAGGGAGAGATTTTGATTCAGGCAAAGAAAATGTGTGGAAAAAATGCTAACAATGGCTACGAGGAAAAGGACTGGGATTGAATGGCAGCATAAAGGCTTCTGCAATACCAGATGGAGTGGTTTCTCTTTCCTGAAGATAACTTTAGAGTACATATAAAAAGTATATTATAAATTACATATCTCACTTATACCTCACAAACTTAGGATAGTTAACAATTCCAGTCTGCAGATGAGGAATGTCTACTATTATCCAATTAAAAGAATGGCAAACACTGAATGTAAATTAGGCTTTTCTTAAGTTTTTGCTACACATTACTGCCTCTCATATTCCCACAATGCCATTATTTGTATTGAGTGAAAAAAACGTTACACAAATAGGTCATACATGTTCCAAACTGTAACTATCACAGATCAAAAGGGCATGGTCAGATCTTTTAGACTTTTCTGCTTTTATGAAAACCTCATAACTTCTTTAGCCAAAAGACCCCACAGTGACGATCTATGCCTTTTATTTAGTAAAATCTTGTACGTTCTCCTCGCTTCTCCTGATTGGGTTAAAATGAGTAATGGTGGATAATTTTTAATTTGGGATAGTTAACTACGGAATATTGTAAGCAACCAGTAAGTATTTCTCTAATGAATAAATGCTTGGCGAACTCTATTTCAAAGGACCACCTCCATGTATTTGGCCTTAAGGGCACGCATGAGCAAATCCCTTCATCGTGCCTACTTCCACAGCCAACGGGTAAACATACGACTAAGCTGACTTCGCGGTCTTCTTCGTGGATCCCGTAAGCGTCTCTTACCTGCAGGTGTGTGCCCGTTCACACAGACCTGCCTGCCGACCCTTCAGCGGCTGGCCAAGCCGGCTTCGGAGTCCCAGCCAGCGAACACCTGCCGCAACCGCCATCTTTGATTTCTCTGCAGAGCACGTTGGGAAAGCGTGCCTCGACCTTCAGGAAGGGCGGGGGGGAAGTGAGCGGGGAAGAGGGACTAGCTCTGCTATTGGCTGAAGCTGAAGAAGACGAAAGCAATCATAAAATGGGAGGTTGCAAGCTCATGGTTGGAAAGACTTTGTCACGGAAGCTAAAGGCTCTGTACACATCCTTTTTGCCTCAGAGAAATTTTTCCTAAATGTTTATTTTGATGGTTTACATATCTTTGATTGTTTTCAAAATAAGAGAGGGATCTGAGAGTTTTACAACTATTTGTTCCCCCCACCATGCAGAAGTGATTTCGTCCACGTAAATGTCTTTCCTGCGTCGGGAACGGCATTTCCGCGCGCAAGCGCAGTTTAAATCACATGGTGCCTCCAGGCTTAATACTCGGGTAGTGAATAGAACGTTACTCTGGGTGTCGGAATTCAGAACGGACCTGCAGGATGTTGATCTCCAAGAACATGCCCTGGCGGCGGCTGCAGGGCATTTCCTTCGGGATGTATTCGGCTGAAGAGCTCAAGTAAGGAGTTTGTGGGGAAGCGTGCCCAGCCTGGCTCTTGAGGTCGGCGCCCTAAACTATGGTTCCCAGAAGCTCTTGCGCACAGTCTATCCTCTGAGTTCAGGCTCGTTTGGCGCTTGTCCTGCTGGGAGCTGTAGTTCTGAAAACGTTCTGGGCCGGCGTGGATTGCCTAGATAAGAGTCCAGTGGGGCTGGAGTGACAAATGTTTGCGCTGGTGGTGTGGAGTGTAAGGGTGGGGAGGGTCCTGATCTGCAGCGTTATCATCTGTCAGTCTCCTCCTCAACTAACAAGCGTTTGTGGAATTACCATAATGTCCCTGACACGATTAATTAGGCACGTAGTAAGTTTCCTCTTGTTTGTAAAATGTTTGTCCTTCAAGTCTCAGTTCAGGCGTTAACTTCTCTTTGCTAGGACCTTGCTATATTCTCTGTCTGTTAAATCAAGGGAACTCTCTTTAGTCTTCTTTTTGATCACGGTAGCGTTTGACATTCTCCAACGCACTCTCTTGAAACTTTCCTTTCTTCCAGACCTGATTGTCTTCAAGTTCTCCTATTTTTATGACAAATACTTCTGTCTCCCTTTCTTCCCCTATCGATCTATAACCCCACAAACATTTATTGAGCTTCCAGTTTTTTTCCAGGCTAGGCATTAATGACACATTGGTGAGCAAGATCTGTACCTCATTTTACTCCTTAAATGTTGATGTTCTTCAAGATTCTATTCTGGTAATGTTGTTTTCCTCATGGTAATGTTGCCCCTAGACAGTCTCACCACATTCATGATTTATAGTCTCAAATTTAAATCCCCAACACAAATTTTTTTCTCTGATTTTGAGACTCACTTGTTCAGCTGTCTGGACATCTTTACTTGAATTTCATACAGATATCTTAAACGCATATCAAAAACGCTACATGCACCCCTCCTCAAAGGGAGGGGTAACTTACCCCTCTAAAATGGTGTAGCCAGTGCAAAATGGTCACTAGAAACTGGAAAATAATTCTAGATCTGTCCTGACATCTAACTTATTTATTGGGCTCTTCCTTTGTGTCACCTACATGTTTATTTGTACTTTACTCTCCTTGTTCTCCTACTTGCTACTGTGTCCCCTCTGGCCCTTATCTCATGTTTGAATTTCTTCCTTCCACCCTCCCCTTACACCTCTCACGTGCATACTCCACACTGCTGTCAAAATTATTCTTGCAGAGTGCAAATGTCGTTATGCTACTGTCACCCTTAAAACCTTCCAAAGGTTCTCCATCTCTCTCAGATTAAGGATATTTTCTTAGCATAGCTGATTTTAGCTATAACATCATCCCTTCTCCAGCCCTATTACACTTGCATATTCCAGAAACTGCCATCACGTTTCAACAGCTGGGCCTTTCTTTAAGCTCTTCCCTCTGCACACAATGTCCTTTCATCCAAAGGGAGGTACTTGCCTCTGTCCCCTGGTCAACACACATACCTGAAGGCTCAGTCCCCTCCCTCATTTTCTTAGGTCATTTTGCACATGGTACAGTTGTCTGTCATGGTGCTGTAGTCACTTTTTGTGCTTGTGTATCTTTGCCTTCCTCCACTACCCTTGAGCTTCTTATGTGTCTCACTCCTGTATTTTATCCTCAAGTCTGAATGAATGGATGAATAAAGTCCTGAGCTACAGCCCTGGTATCATTGGTAACAGTGTGCTAGCTCAGACTAAATATATCATCACCACCATAAGTGGATATGATTTCATCCAAAAGCAGAAGTGTTTTACGTTGCCTGAATTTTTAAAAAGATAATTGTGGAGTTTTCAAACAGGTTTAGGGTTGAGACATTTCAATAATTCTGCCACCTTTTATTGTGCCAGATTCCAGTAGCTTCCCATTTTTACTCAGAGTAAAAATCAAGTCTTTGAGGGGCCATTTCAGTCTCCTGTTACCTCTCTGATTTCACCTCTATTCCGGCTACCCTGACCTCCTTGCTGCATCCAGAATACCTCGGGTACACACCCACCTCAGGACCTTTGCACTCTGCTAAAGTAAAACCCTCTGCCCAGTTGACTGTATGGCTTTGCACTCGGTAAAACCCTCTGCCCAGTTGACTGTATGTCTTTGCACTCTGTAAAACCCTCTGCCCAGTTGACTGTATGGCTTTGCACTCTGTAAAACCCTCTGCCCAGTTGACTGTATGGCTTTGCACTCTGTAAAACCCTCTGCCCAGTTGACTGTATGGCTTTGCACTCTGTAAAACCCTCTGCCCAGTTGACTGTATGGCTTGCTTCCTCAACTCCTTCAGCCTTTGCCAAAGTACCTCCTTAGGGAGCTTCTAGGACTACTTGCCCACTCCGTTCTTCCCTTTCCCTGCATTATTTTTCTTCATAGCACTTTCTGCCATCTAACAGACTATACACTTATTTTGTGTCTGTTCCCTTTCCTCCAGTCTAATGTATGGCCGTAAGCATAGGGGTTCTTGTCTGTTTCCTTAGCACTTAACACTATCTGGCACACAGTGAGCACTCAGTGGGTATTTGTTGAGTGTATGAATAGATGGAGGGAGGAGCTAACTGCTCAGCTCTTGGCACTTTCAGTCCTCAGTGACACCTATTCTCAGTTCTTAACAACACCAATTTGTGGTGTTACCTCCAGTAAAAAGTTCAGGCCCAGAGAACAAAATGTCTTTCTAGAAAGTGGCAAAGGCCATCTTTAAACCTAAGTCTATTGATCTCAAACTCTTTCTTCTCCAGTGGAATCCTTACTGGTTGCCCCTACTCTTTTTATCCTGTTCCTGTAATGGTGAGAGGGACTTTCTCCTCTACCCAATGAAGAGAGAGGAACTTTATTCCAGACACTATGTTTTCTATGTGGTATCTTCTAATCATCCTAATAGAGCTGCTGCAATGCCCAGACTTCAGGTGAGAAAAAAGTTAGGTAGTTATCAAAGGACACAGTCAATAGATTGAAAGGGCAACCCAAGAAATAGGAGAAAATATTTGCAAATTATATATCTGATAAGAGATTGATATCTAGAACATACAAAGAACTCCCACAACTCCAAAACAACAACAAAATTCAATTTTAAAATGGAGAAAGGATTTAAATAGACATTTTTCCAAAGAAGACATGCAGATGGGCAATGAGCAGGTGAAAAGATGTTGAACATCACCAATTATTAGTGAAATGCAAATAAAAAGCTCCTCAAACCCAGTAGAATGTTACTATCAAAAAACAGAAAGTAATAAGTGTTGACAAGGATGTGGAGAAAGTGGAACCTTTTTGTACACCATTAGTGGAATTGTAAAATGGTGCAACTACTATGGAAAACAGTAAGGTAGATTCTAAAAAAATTAAAAACAAAATTACCGTGTGATCCAGCAATTCTGCTTCTGTGTATGTATCCAAAGAATTGAAAGTAGGGTCTCAAGAAGATATTTGTACACCTATGTTCATAGCAGCATTATTCACAATAGTGAAAAAGTGGAAACTATCCAAGTGTCTATCAATGGATGGGTTGATAGACAAAAACGTAGTATATACATACAATGGGATATTGTTCAGCCCTAAAAAAGGGAGACAGTTCTGATATATCCTATAACATGGATGAACCTTGAAAGCATTGTGCTAAGTGAAATAAGCCAGTCACAAAAGGAAATGTACAGTATGATTCCACTTATGTAAGGTATCTGGAGTAGTCAGAATGATCAAAACAGAAAGTAAAATGATGGTAGTGGATGACATGAAGAATTATTGTGTAATGGGTACAGAGTTTCAGTTTTACAAGATGAAAAAGGGTTCTGCAGATAATGGTGATGGTAGCACAATGCCAATGTACTTAATACCGCTGAGCGGTACTAATTAAAACAGTTAAGATGAGGAATTTACATTATATATTTTTATTACAATTTCAAAAACTAAAAAGTAAAAGATAAGTAATTTGTTCAGTGTTACCCAGTTCAGGGTTGCAGGTGGACTCTAGGTTTGTGGGAAGAGACCACACACGCAACCATTCAGTTAGATCAAGTTTCTCGTGAAATTAGCTTACCGGCAGCAAGGTGACCATATAGACAAGAACCACAGCAGCAGATCTGTCTCTAAGTCGCCTTAGCCCTTAGAGTGACACTGGCCATCAACATAGAATCTTCTAGATCTGAGTAGCTTAGTTCCTGATAGACCAACATCGTTTTACACTCAGAACATGTCACCATTCATGAAGAACTTGACACTATTTTTGTACTTCATTAAAGGGAGTGTTCACTTTATTGAGGGCTCTCCTTTCAACCTTCAGATTTCCTCTAGGGTGTCAAATTATTTGTCTTTATCTTCTAAATCAGAAAGGAAAAAGTTTTAAAAGCAAAGTTGGCTTTGTAAACGTAGTTAAGTGTCCTATGGGCACTCCTTTCAAACCAAACATAAAACATGGTGAAACCTTTAGTAAGGTTTGACTACATGTGTTTAATTTTGTCAGATTTAGTATTTCTGCATACAGGGGTTATTGCATCATATTCCCTTCATTTGAACTGTGTGGGCTTTGAAGTTATGTCTGTTCCATAATCCCGCCTCCTCTACATTCTGTCTATGTCACCTGGATTAAATCACCTAACATCCCTGAACCTTGGTTTCCTACTCTGAAAAGTACATGTAGTGATGACCAATTTAGAGGATTAAGATCAAGACTGAATAATGCGGCCAGGCATGGTGGCTCACTCTTGTAATCCTAGCACTTTGGCAGGCTGATCTCTAGAGCTCAGGAGTTCAAGACCAGCATGGGTAACATGGCGAAATCCTGTCTCTACAAAAAAAATTAATAGAAAAATTAGTTGGGCATGGTGGTGCATGCCTGTGGCCCCATCTACTCGGGAGGCTGAGGTGGGAGGATCACTGGAGCCCAGGAGTTCGAGGCTGCAGGGAGCTGAGGTGGCACCATTGCATTCCAGCCTGGGCAGCAGGAGTGAGACCTTGCTGCAAAACAAAGACAGAATAATGTTGCCTCTGAAGCATTCAGTGTATAGTAGATGCTTAACTCCTTTTTATAAATAGTTTACCAATGTACTTAGTGCAAGTTTTGCTCAAAATCTGTTTTTTTAACTCATTCATTTCTTACATATGTATGTATTAACTATTGGGTACCAACTGTGCACTTAGTATTGGGGTACACTGGTGAGCAAGGCAGAGACTGTGCCCTCTGGAGCTGTCAAAGAGGCATTAAATAATCAAGGAAACATCACAGAGGTTGGTAACCTTAGTTTTCCTCTTGATCTTTTTTATCCCCATAGGAAATTAAGTGTTAAATCCATTACAAACCCTCGGTTCCTGGACAGCCTGGGGAACCCATCGGCAAACGGCCTGTATGATTTAGCTTTGGGCCCCGCAGATTCCAAAGAGGTGTGCTCCACCTGCGCGCAGGACTTCAACAACTGCTCCGGGCACCTGGGCCATATTGAGCTCCCACTCATGGTGTACAACCCTCTCCTCTTCGATGTAAGTGCTGCCTTAGTTGTGTGAGTCTCAGGGCTGCTGGTGGGATTTGTGAGTGCTGCCTCTCTCCCACAAGAGTGGTCTAAGGAGGTTAAGCTCCAGACACCCTAATGAAAACATTCTGTAGAATGAGATTTTGAAACTTTGAACCAAATACAACAACTTCAACGTACCCTGTGCCCCTAACTAAATGAATATCAGCTTGATTCCAGTTGAGTAGAGCCACAGCTTGATTCCATTCACGTGGAGGGTAGGGAGGGTTCAGATTCGTCCCCTACACCTTTTGTTTCAGGGGCTTTGTGCTCTTCAGAAATATCATTGGCACCTGCCTGGCAACAGAGAGAACTTGTGTTCTTAAGGCCTCCCTGAGCCCTTCAGGTGGCTCTATAGGCTCTCATGTGATGGCAGGAGCAGCAAAGCCCCAGAAAGCCCAGCAGTGAAGTCAGAATGGAGTTCCTGTCTTGCTTACGCATTTTCAGCTTTTTGAGTTCAGCTAACCTTATCTCCAGGATTTTTTTTAAGCCACAGATGTTGGTATGTGTGGACATGATTTTCGTCTGTTAATCATATTAAAGAAAGAGAAATGTCTTTTGTTTTCATGACAGTTTCATTCTGTCTCCCAGGCTGGAGTACAGTGGCACAATCTTGGCTCACTATAACCTCTGCCTCCTGGATTCAAGCCATTCTTGTACCTCAGCCTCCCGAGTAACTGGAATTACAGGCGCACACCACCATGCCCAGCTAATTTTTGTATTTTTGGTAGAGACGGGGTTTCACTGTGTTGGCCAGGCTGGTCTCAAACTCCTGGCCTCAAGCAATCCACCCGCCTCAGCCTCCCAAATTGCTGGGATTATGGGCATGAGCCACCACGCTCAGCTGAGAAGTGTTATAATTAAATCTTGGCATAAAATAAAGATATTTCTCTGCTTCAGGTCATACACCCAAAGTAAATTTCAAATCTAAATGGATTAAAATAAAAACTTAAAAGAGAGACTTTATCTAGTTCTTAATATAACAAAGGCCTTTTTTAAGTGTGTAAGCTGAAGTGGAGTTTTTAAAGGAATAGATTGAATATATCAAGAAACTTGTGGGTATACTGAAAGTCACCGTGACAACTGTGTCTCTTTCTAATATCCTGTTTGTTTTTATTCCCTCTCTTCAGAAGCTATACCTGCTGCTTCGGGGCTCTTGTTTAAACTGCCACATGCTGACTTGTCCCCGGGCTGTGATTCACCTCTTACTCTGCCAGCTGAGAGTTCTGGAAGTCGGGGCCCTACAAGCAGTCTACGAGCTTGAGAGAATTCTGAACAGGGTAGGTGGTCACAGAAATCATGAAAGGCAAAGGGGTGGGGAGCAAGAGATGCTAATATGTTGTCCTAGGTACCATGCCAGTGGTACAGGACATTTGATCTGTGTATCTTATAACTGGATACCAATAGCTGAGTGTGAAAACAGGAAGCTATAATAATAATGATGATGAAAGGAATGTTAATAGAAACAATAGTGAAATACCATTTAAACCATTTATGAGCTTTTTCTGATTTTCTGGACCGAGGATTTAATCAAGGTTTATTCAGTCAAAAGGCATTGCTTTTGATTGTTACATCTCGTTGATCTGTCTTACAGTAGAACATTGTGATGTACAGAATTCTTTTTCATGATGCTGACTTTTTTGGAGACTCAAGGCCAGTTTTCTTACAGGATTTCTCACATTCAAGATTGTCTGATTTTTTCCTGTAATTAGATTCACACTTTAGCAAGAATACAACCTTCATGGTACAGGGTATTTTGTATTGCATCATTTTAGGAGGCATATGATGTAGGTTGTTCACCTATTGGCAATGTTTAATTTGTTTACTTCTCATGTTTTCTTTTTTTTGTCTTTTTTTGTTTTATTAACACATACATATTTTATGGGGTACGAAGTGATGGTGTGATACAGTGTACAGTGATCAGATCAGGGTGATTTAGCATATCTGTCCTCTCAAACATTTATCATTTCTTTGGGTTGGGAACATGTAATATTCTCCTTCCAGCTTTTGAAACTGTATTGTTATTATCTATGGTCATCCTGCAGTGGTGTAGAACACAAGAATTTATGTTCTTGGGTAATTTTGTTTACAAAATTTTGTTTTGTAAAACAAACTTTAATTTTGTTTCTTTTAATAAATCTCTTCCCTTTCCCTCCTAACTGTAATTTTGTTTCTTTTAATAATCTCTTCCCTTTCCCCTCTTTTCCCTACCCTTCTCAGCCACTAGGATTCTCCATTCTACTTTTACTTCTATGAGATCAACTTTTTTTTTTGGCTTCCACATATGAGTAAGAACATGCAGAGTTTAACTTTCTGTTCCTGGCTTATTTCACATAATATCCTCCTGTTCCGTCTAATGTTGTTGCAAATGACAGGATTTCATGCTTTATTATGGCCAAATGGTATTCCAAGTGTATATATACCACATTTACTTTATCCCTTTATCAGTTGTTGGGCATCTAGGTTGGTTTTATATCTTGGCTATTGTGAATAGTGCTGCAGTAAACAAGGGGGTACAGATGCCACTTTGATATATCAATTACTTTTCTTTTGAATAAATGCCCAATAGTGGGGTAGTTCTATCTGCAGTTTTTTTGAGGAGCCTTCATATATGTTTCCCATAGTGGCTAAATTAGTTTACATTCCTGCCAACAGTGTGTAAGAGTTCTCTTTTCTCCCCATCCTCACCAGCGTTACTTTTTTGTCTTTTGGGGATAGCCATCCTAAACTCGGATGAGATGAAACCTTATTGTGATTTTGATTTGCGTTTGCCCAATGACTAGTGATGTTGAACATTTTTTCATATATTTGTTGGCAATTTGTATGTGTTTTCAGAAGTGTTTGTTTAGCTCATTTACCCATTGTTTGAATTGTTTGGGATTTTTGCTGTTGAGATGCTTGAGTTCCTTGTATATTCCAGATATTAAGCCCCTGCCCTAAGATGAGTAGTATGCAAATATTTTCTTCTATTCTGGAGTAGTCTGTTAACTGACTACTTCGCTGTGCAAAGGCTTTTTAGTTTGATATAATTCCATTTGTTTATTCTGGCTTTTGTTGCTTGTGCTTTGAGGTCTGATTCATAAAATATTTTTCCACACTTTATATTTAGATCATTGATCAATTTTTGAGTTGATTTTTGTAGAGGGTGGAGGTGGAGGTCTAGTTTAATTCTCCTGCATATGGATATCTAATTTTCCCAGCATCAATTATTAAAGACACTATCCTTCCCCCCAGTATATGTTCTTTGCACCTTTTTCAAAAATCAGTTGTCTGTAGTTATGTGTATTAATTTTCAGGTTCTCTTTTTTGTTTCGTTGGTTTCTGTTTCTATTTTTATGCCAGTACTCTACTGTTTTGGTTACTACAGCTTCGTAGTATATTTTGAATTCTGGGAGTGTGATGCCTCCAGCTTTATTCTTTTTATTCAAGATTGCTTTGGCTGTTCAGGATCTTTTGTGGTTCCATACAAATGTTATAATTTTTACTCCTGTTTCTGTGAAGAATGTCATTGGTATTTTGATAGAGATTGCATTGACTCTTTAAATTGCTTTGGGTAGTATAGTAATTTTGACAATATTAATTATTCTGATCTGTAAGTATGGGATGTTTTTCCATTTGTATCCTCTCCAGTTTCTTCCATCAGTGTTTTGCAGTTTTCCAAAAAAGTCTTTCACATCCTTGGTTAAATTTATTCCTAGGTATTTTTTTGATAGCTGTTATAAATGGGATTGCCTTCTTGATTTCTTTTTCAGCTAATTCATTGTTTGTGTATAGAAATGCTACTGATATTTTTATCCTGCAACTTTACTGAATTTCTTGATGAGTTGAAGAAGTTTTTGGTAGAGTCTAAGTTTTTCTATATATAAGATTATGTCATCTGTAAAACAGGGACATATTGACATCCTTCTTTTCAGTTTGGATGCCTTTTCTTTCTCTTGCCTAATTCCTCTGGCTGGTTACTTTCGGATAAGGTGTGGATGACCAGATCTCTATCGTAAAGAAATATTTTTTTCATAGTTAATATTTACATCAGAATTTCTGGTGTTATTAAAAATAACTTATTTAAAATTTCATTTTGTTTGTTGGTATAAAAAAGTGTTATTGATTATGAAGCAACCTGGCAAAATGGTCTCATGAATTCTGACAGTTTATCTGTAGATATTTTTAGATTTTCAATACAGTCATATCTGCAAATACTGGTATTTTTGTTCCTTTCCGATCCTTACATGTTTTCTTTCTTTGGTGGCTAGGATCTACATTACTGTGTTGAAGTGGTAGTGGGTATCTTGGTCTTATTACTTGTCACAAAGAAAAGTTGTTCCTCTTCCCCTCCCTCTTACTGGATACTTCAGTCCTTAAGACATTAGGTGGGCGGAGCAAGCTGGGATTCCACAAAGAGACATGGCCTAGTATGTAGTGTCTGAGCCCCCGCAGAGTGAGCAGAGCTTCGTGGAAAGGGTATCTCTGCACAGGACTCAGCCAGAGCAGAGAGAGAGGGGAGCCCTGCACGTGTGGGCAGCCCCATGCAGAATGCCAGAGCTCAAATATGGTAAGGAGGATGTTCATTTGGAGATAGAGGCACAGTGTGGAGTGTGAGAGCCCAAATATAAGGAGGGGGTCCACAAGGAGGGTGTACTCCTGTGGGACTTGAGCCCAAATTGGGTGAGGGCTCCACACAGAGGAGGGATGACGGCAGCAGCAGTGGGAGAGTGGTTATATACAGGGAGAGAGAGGTGTTGATCAATTAAGTACTTAAGGATAAGAGGGGCCAGATTTTATACTATCAGAAAGGAGAGTTACAAACCTATGCAAGAGAGAAGACAGAATTAATCCTGTACTGTTAAAATGGAATTAAAAGTTCTGGTGTGAAGTATGTGTGTATACATATATTTTCCCCTGGCTCTTTCCCTGGAAGGGCTTGGAGGAATGATAGTAATGGGCACACCTAGCACCCCCTTCTTGGTTTCTAAATACCATTCTCCACTAAAAAACTTCTTGGAGAAATAGCTGATCTATGGCTGGGACAGAGAAAGTACAAGAGCAGCCTGGAACATCACATGCTAGAAAGGAGGGAGGTGCTCTAAGAACGATGGGACATGTCCAAAGGACACAGAAGCCTGTGTGTAGGGCTCACACTGGCCAGATCTAGGACAGTTTGAGCATCATAATAAATGGTGATACTAAGTGATTATGACCTATCAAATGAAGTGGGAATCCATGAACCTACTTTCACGTTGATTTAAACTAAAAAATGAATTGAGTGACTAAAAGTTTAAGTAACAGGCTACTTACACAGTTTCAAAGTACCCCTCCCCGCCCCCACACATAGTCTTTTGGAGAAGAAGCCTGGCTTAACTCAAGTGGTCAAAGTGAAACATACTTGATGGGACCAATTGAAATCATGCACCCCCTCATGGGTGCAGTGAGAAGAACACAACATCACTTCTGGATATTCTTGCCAAAGATGCTAGCTGTATAATCATGAGGAAATTTCCAACATGCCCACAAATGAGGAGTATTCTATAAAACTCACCTTGAATCTTCAAAACTGTTCATAACTCAAGTTGAAGACTAAGGAACTATTCTAAACAAAGGAGACTAAAAAGTGTAACAGGTAGCTCTAAACTGGATACTTTTGCTGTAAAAGACATTTTTATTATCGTTGTTTTGAGACAGAGTCTGACCCTGTCATCCAGGCTAGAGTACCATGGCACCATGTCAGCTCACTGCAACCTCTGCCTCCAGGGTCCGAGTGATCTCCTGAGTAGCTGGGACTACAAGCATGTACCACCACACCTGGCTAATTTTTGTGTTTTTTTAGTCGAGACAGGGTTTTGCTGTATTGGCCAGGCTGGTCTTGAACTCCTGACCTCAAGCAATCTACCTGGCTCGGCCTCCCAAGGTGCTGGGATTACAGGCATGAGCCACCGTGCCCAGCGTCTAAAGGATATTATTAAGGGAGTTGGAAAAACTTGTTAGTGTTTAGGATTAGATGGTAATAATTTATCAGTGCTAATTTGCCATTTTTTAATGATTGTATCATGGTCATATTTGTGAGTGTCCATGTTTATAGAAAATGTTCATCAAAATATTTGGGGTTGATGGTATATCAGATCATCAATGTACTCTCAAATGGTTCAATTGTGTCAAATACCTTTTTAATATATATTGAAATTTTCAGATAATTTGGCTCCTTTTTAACCAGTTAACATGGTGAATTACTCAGTTTCTTTCCTAATGTTAAACTAACCTGGGATTCCTAGGATAAACCCAAATTGTTTAGGATATATTACCTTTTTAATATGTCGTTGCATTTGTCTTCTTAATATTTGGGATTTTTGAATCTGTGATCATGACTGAGATTGGTTTACACTTCCTTTCTTCTATTGTCTTTCAGGGTTTGGTATCTAGATTATGTCAGCCTCATAAAATGAGTAAGAGAATTCTTTTTTTTTTTTTTGAGACAGAATCTTATTCTGTTGCCCAAGCTGGAGTACAGCAGCACAATCTTGGCTTACTACAGCCTCCACCTCCCGAGTTGAAGTGATTCTCCTGCCTCAGCCTCCTGAGTAGCTGGGATTATAGGCATTTGCTACCATATCCAGCTAATTTTTGTATTTTTAGTAGAGACAGGGTTTCACTCTGTTGCTTAGGCTAGTCTCAAACTCCTGAGCTCTGGTGATCCACCTGCCTCTGCCTCCCAAAGTGCTGGGATTACAGGTGTGAGCCACCATGCCTGACCTTGTTTGATTTTTTTTTTAATAGCAGCGTTTTCTCACTCTTGAAAGTGCAACACCTAAAACAACTAAAGTGTAACCATAGTTTCTTTTTCTTTCTTCAAATGAATTTTTCTACTCTTGGAGAGGCTGGTCCCAGTTGTGCTGCTCATCAGATATGTGTATTACTGTGATAATGTGGTTTTCCTCTTTGTTTTCCAGTTTCTGGAAGAAAATGCTGATCCCTCTGCCTCTGAAATTCAGGAGGAATTAGAACAATACACAACTGAAATTGTGCAGAACAACCTCCTGGGGTCCCAGGGCTCACATGTGAGTTAACACTGTCTTTCTCCCACACTGTTTTTGGCATCATTTTATCACTTTCTCTCTATGCTGTCCTTTACATATACTTCTGGCTTCCTAAAGTAGACCTGGGTTTGAATCTGAGCTCTGCCTCTCATGAGACCTGCGACCTCACTAATTACACACCTGTGTGAATGTCTACTTCCTAATCTCTAACGGCTACCTGCAGGACCAATGAGAGGTTATGTGACATTAGATGGTTTCGGTATAGCATCCAGCAAGGCTTTTCTTAAAAAATGGCATCAGGTCTTTTTTCCTTCTCCAACACTTCTCTCTAACCCACTGCTACCTTATTCTCCCCTCCATACATTGCCTAAGTATTAATTTGTTCAATGAATGAATGAATGGGTAGATAATTCACCTGTGATACTAGTCTTGAAATCTGCTTCACCTCATGTCTCGGTTTCAGAGCAGAGATGCTGATTTAATTCCAAGTGGAGTTACAAAAGCTCCCAGATGGTTCCCATCTGCTGCCAGGTGCAGTGCCACTCATGTGGCTGGACTGTGGATGTGCCTTTCTCAGAACCCTGAGGTCCATCTGAGGGAGGCCAGCTGCATCCAGAGGGTTTCGTTTTACAAGTGAAAGTAACTAGTGTTAATTACTGAGTTCTGGTTGTATTTCAAGCCCCCGCTGCATTCATGATTCTTTATCTTAGTAAGAGTTTGCCACAGTGGTTACTATTCTTATTTCCGTATTATAATTGAGAAAACTGAAGGCTTAAAGAGGTCACTCAGTAATTGTCAGAGTTCAGCTATATTAGGGTTCTGTGGAAGATTTTGTTTAAGAAAGTGGTGGTGGGGATGTTTCCTCTGTTTAAAAATAAAAGGTGAAAACTGTAAATATATTGGATTCTCTTCAAAATGGTACTCCAAGGTTCTCTGACTTTTATTTTTAACAGGTAAAGAATGTGTGTGAGAGCAGGAGCAAGATAATTGCTTTCTTCTGGAAGACACACATGAATCCTAAGCGCTGTCCCCACTGCAAGTGAGTATCAGGGCCTTTGCCCCCAGTGAGACATCTCTGGGCAGTCACTCATTGCTATCATTCCATGTCTTACTAGGTTTTTTTCTCTCCTCAATCACAACTGTCCTCCCGCACAGGACTGGGCGATCTGTTGTCCGAAAGGAACACAATAGCAAGTTGACGATCACGTTTCCAGCCACGGTGCACAGGACAGCTGGCCAGAAGGACTCCGAGCCCCTAGGTAAGCAGGCTGGGTCTGGAGAGGAGCTCGCTGGCCACATGTGTCCTGAACCCTGGGAATACCTGGTTCTTCTCCACTCTACTCCATGCGGTCTCTGCTGCATTTGAGAGGGGCTTGCAGAGATACAGTGTGCAGGCCTCTGGGGGATGAGGGGACCCTGGCGAGTGCCGAGCTATGCCTCTCACACGGGAGAGCTGATGGAAGGGGCTGCTTTATCAGGCAGTGCTCCACATTTGCCTCTTGCCTTAAGTGTTCATTTTTCTGAAAGATTTTTCAGGAAGAAATTAAGAAATTTATCTGGCAAGTATTTTGAAACATTTTACCATTAAACAGGTGTGGATCTATTTTGGAGTAAAATGTCAGCGAATAATTTTAAAGAAAACTGCAAGAATTCAACAAAACATTAGCACCTCCTGCAGGCTACTCCCAGCTGTCCACCAGATCTCCCCCCACCCTTTCCCCTGGGTAGAGTTCTTTCCTCAGCTCTGCGTCACCCTAGCTCTGCTTGGGAAAAATTTGGAGAGACTTAATACGTGTACTTTTTAATTTTTAATAGTTGTAGACTTGTTTAAAAGTGTTTTTTTATTTTTATTCTGAAGTAGTCAGAAGGTTAAAGTATTCTGAGACTGAAAGCAGTTTCTACTGTGTAGTATGTGCTGTGTAGATGTTAACTGTTCATTTTTTATTATGTCATCAACGTACCAGGATAGAAAAAGCACAACCTGGCCAGGCATGGTGGCTCACACCTGTAATCCCAGAACTTCGGGAGGCTGAGGCAGGCAGATCATTTGAGGTATGGAGTTCAAGACCAGCCTGGCCAACATGGTGAAACCCCATCTCAACTAAAAATACAAAAATTAGCCAGGTGTGGTGGCAGGTGCCTATAATCCCAGCTACTCAGGAGACTGGGGCAGGAGAATTGTTTGAACCCAGGAGGCGGAGTCTGCAGTGAGCTGAGATGGTGCCACCACACTCCAGCCTGGGTGACAGAGCAAGACTCCTTCTCAAAACAAAAAAAAAAGAAAAAACACAACCTGCAATTGTAACTTGGCTCTGCCCCTTATGCTGAGTGGTGGATAGAAGTCTATTTTGAGGAGCTTCCATTTCCAACTCTGTGTAATGGCATTCATAAAGCCTCTTACCTAGAACTGAGGAAATTTACATGTTTGGAAGTCCACAGCAGTTACTGTTACTAAACCTTTTCCCCAGGGCTTGAGAATATGGAATAGGCGTGGAAATAAGATCCCCTCCTGGAGATGCATGATGTGTCTTTTACATTGAAGACTCTGGCAAGCCCTGGAGTAAATGAAAAACCTGTTTATTATTATTTTTTAAATGTTTTATTTTAGAAAAATTTTTAGACTTAACCAAAAAGTTAGCAAACATAGTACAAAGAATTCATTTATACTCTTTACTTCATTTGCCCTAATGTAACATACTAGATTACCATGGCGTGTTTGTCAAAACTGAGTTTAACATTGGTGCAACACTATTAACTATCCACTTTTTGAATTTCACTGGTTTTTCCAGTTATTTCCTTTTTTTGCTCCAGGATCCAATCCAGGATACCACATTGCATTTAGAAAGCCTATTTAATTTTGTTTTTTGGTTGGCAGTTAACACCGTAAGAGTAGATTTTCCTATTAAACACTTACTGTTAAATAGCCCTCAAAACAATTTTTTCTTAATACCAGTTGGGAATTGCTGCTGTATCCCTTAGGATGCTTTATAAAATGTTCATAGATTGAGAACAAAGATGGGCAGAATTCTAGAAGAATAGTTTCCGTGGGGCAAATGTCCAGCAAGTAAGTAGCCTTTCAATGCCTTCACCAAACCCATTCTTCCGAAGTCATCTTTCATTGCACCCATGTGAATGTGATGGTACAACCAAAAGCCTGTGCATTAGAAACTAGTAGGCTGTAGTTCTACAGCTCCAGGCTTGGGTGTTTAGTATTTAGCACACATTTATTCGTTGGCATTCAGCGTTATGCCAAGGACCATGTTTGTGGTGAGCACAATGCCACAATACAGAGCAGACCATGTGGTCTCTGCTCTCTGAAGGGGCTGCAAGTGACATAGACCAGAAACTCAGGGCAGCACATGATGTCGAGGAAGGTAAGAACTCTCAGTGTGGGTCTGACCATGCTCCGGGTACCAGAGGGAATCAAAAAGGTCTGGGCCAGGCGCAGTGGTGGCTTATGCCTATAATCCCACCACTTTGGGAGGCTGATCATCTGAGGTCAGGAGTTCGAGACCAGCCTGACCAACATGGTGAAACCGTGTCTCTACTAAAAATACAAAAATCAGCAGGGTATGGTGGTGCATGCCTGTAATCATGTTACTCAGGAGGCTGAGACGGGAGAATTGCTTGAACCTAGGGAGGCAGAGGTTGCAGTGAGCCAAGATTATGCCATTGCACTCCAGCCTGGGCAACAAGAGTGAAACTCCTTCTCAAAAAAAAAAAAGTGAGGGCCATGCCTGAGTAGTCCCCATGGACTGGTGATTCCTCAAGAAGTGCTGTCAGCATGGAAATGCCACATGTGTTGCTCCAGTGCGCTCCCTGTGCTTCTTGTGCACCCCGAGCCTCACAAGGCACATTAACATTTAAAACGAGGATTCATATAGCCAAGAGACTTCCACTCATTGTGATCCCAGATTATTTGATCTCTGAATCCCTTTTTCCTATGGCATCTCTTACAGCTGAAAGAAACGCACATTCAAGTTGCTCTAAAATCCCAGCTAAGCAGAAGTCACTGTTGCAAGCTACAGAGGTTCTTGTTAGGAGGGGGTGCAGCTCATGTGAGGAGCTGGCCTTCCACAGCTCTTTTCTGACTCTAAGGTCATGTGATTGAAGAACAACCTCTGCCTTCACGGTGACGAAACTGCAGTGGGGACATTGCTGGGACAGGAGCTGAGGAGATGAACCAATCTTCTTCAGCCTTTCCAGCCTGTTTAGTGGAAGAGGAAAGTCAGACATTCATTTCCAGAAATGCTCGTAAAATGCAAGTTAATGGATCTGTTTTCTCCCACTGAACATATGTAGCTTTCTAATGCTGTGGTTGTCCCTGAAGTTCAAGGCCATTCTTCATTGCATACCCGTGCTTCCTTCAATTGCAGTAACTCATTGACATATTCTGCTTTGATAGACATCAACACTTCAAACGTGCAGGCTCCTTGATTTAGCAATTCTGCTTCTGTGACTTTATCCTAAGGAATTAGAATACTCACTGTGTTGTTTGAATAGTTTAGAACTGGACATCACTTAAATACCTATTAATAGAGACTAGTTAAAGTATGATGCATCTGTTAATTGTTCTTCAAGTAAGAGATTTCTCTAAAAACTTGTGATGACATATCCTCTGCATATTTTAAAGAAACTAGCTGGAGAATTGGAGGTGGAATGAAGCTAGTTTTTAAAAACAGAAGGAAAGGCAAGAGTGGTATTTTTAAGTATAGATTATTTTAGGCTATTTTGAACATCTATATTTGAGCTATGTACTCTTAATTTAGAATTTGCTACAAGCTGGACACCCTGTCAGGTGTTAGGAACACAGGCAAGGCATACTTCCTGCCCTGATAGGGGAATAAAAAGAGAAAATTGAGCAATGCTTAGTTTCAGTTGATGTATCTAAAAAAGGTTTTTTGAGTTTTGTTTGTTTTTTGTTTTAAGACAGTCTCACTCTGTTGCCCAGGCTGGAGTGCAGTGATATGATCTCAGCTCACTGCAGCCTCTGCTCCCGGGTTCAAGCGATTCTCCTATTACAGCCTCCTGAGTAGCTGGGAGTACAGGCATGTGCCACCATACCTGGCTAATTTTTGTATTTTTAGTAGAGATGGGGTTTCTCCATGTTGGCCAGGCTGGTCTCAAACTTCTGACCTCAGGTGATCCACTCACCTTGGCCTCCCAAAGTGCCCAGAAAGTTTAGATAATTAATTATCTAAATGCTTGGACCCTACCTTCTGAATGGCAACCTGAAGTCCAGTTTTCTAACATAATCTGGGTATAACTGGTAGACAGCATCCCAGACTGTTCTTGCTTAGTCTGAGAAACCAAGCCTAATCTATTCCTCACACACCAGTATTTTTGTAAAATGAAGTCAATATATATTTACCCATGAAAATATTTCTACGTATTTATCCATAATTCAACTATGTGAACCTTTCTGGTAAAAACCAGGCAAGTAAAGATACTTAGTATAATATTACTTATAATAGCAAAAAATGGGAATCAATCCAGATGTCCAATTATGAGAATATGGTTAAGTAAATTAGAAATCATCCTCAATGGAATATTACATAGCCATGAAAAAATGGTGATCAGGCCAAAGTTACATAGCAACATGTAGAAATGCTGACAAGATGATACTAAATAGGCAAAGTAGTTTGCAAAATAAATCCACACTGAAGATTACAGTTGTGTAAAATACTTGCATAGACAAAAGGCCTGGAAAACAATATATAAAAGTGATAGGAGTTATGTTAATGTATGGGATTGTGGATAATGTTTTCTTTTACTTCGCTTTTTTTTTTTAAGGTTTTATACAATGGCCATATGGTTTGTATTACTACAGAAGGAACATTAAGGGTCTGAGAATATGCTACCATAGAGATTTTTTTTTGTGATCAAGTTGCAGACTCGGATAAAGAATTGATAAATCCCATTGCAGAAAGAGTATCTGTTACTCATGTATTGTGCTTTGAATCTCCTTCTCGGCTCCAGGAATTGAGGAAGCTCAGATGGGAAAACGAGGATACTTAACACCCACCAGTGCCCGTGAACACCTTTTTGCCCTGTGGAAGAATGAAGGTGCTATATCAGGCTAAAGAAATAGCCTTTATCTTCTCTAGCCTTTAATTTCCTGGACTCATTAACCCTGCCTTATTACTTCTTTTAAGTCCTGATGATTGTAGCTCTTTCCTGGAACTGATCCAGAGGTTTGGGGCAGTCTTCAGGGCACATTGATATTGAGATGTCATAGAGGAGGGGAGGTCATACCCAGCACCAAAAACATGACAATTATTGCAGTTGAGCCTGGTTATCAAATGACAGCTGCAGGTGGGCCTTGCTTAATATAGGTTGGCATATTTTCAGAAGGTTCAGTATAACTTATTTTAAATGCCCATAAGTAAAATGCTTTGTCCTCCTGTGAATAAAGGAATGAATTCTGTCTTTTTTAAACAGGGATTTTTATACATTTCAGTTTCTACTATAGGAGAAATCATTCATTCCCTTTTGAGTGTGTAACAAACCCTGTGCAATGTATTCAAACCCTTATGAGAATGTGTTGTGGAATGCTGACTATAACCTCTGTGTAATAAGCACTTAAAAATGAACATGTTGTTAAACAGGTATCAGGAAAAAAAGGTCACTGGAGTTAGTATGATGGCTTTTGGGGCAGGCCCTAGCACATTTTAATCTTTTTCTCTAGGCATTTTTTAAAGGAACCAGACACCTGAAATATAGCTTTGATCCACAGAAGATTTTTTTCTTGGCAGCACCTGTTAGAGGTAGAAGGTAGGGTTATTTTTAAGGAGACTAGCTTAAAAAATTTCTTTTTACTCAGTGTGTTTTATAAAGATCAAAGTAATAAATATGTGTGTGGTATGTATGTGTTTTAGTAGTCCAGGAGGGTGATTCAAAACAAGTGAAGTTTCTTCCCCATCCTTGCCCTTCTCAGTCCCTGGGTTAAGAGCTATGTGCCTGTAGTACCTGTCTTTATGCCGTCATATCCCCTGCATACAAACTGTCATGTACACAGAGGCTATTTTTTGTTTTTATAAAGAAAAATGAGGCCAGGTATGGTGACTTATGCCTCTAATTACAGCATATGGGAAGCTGAGGCAGGTGGATCAATTAAGTCCAGGAGTTCGAGACCAGCCTGGGCAACCAAGCAAAATGTCATCTCTTAAAAAAAAAATACAAAAATTAGCCAGTCACGATGGCACACACATGGAAGGCTGGGGTGGCAAGATTGCCTAAGCCTGGGAGGTCAAGGCTGCAGTGAGTCATGATTGCACCACTGCACTGAAGCCTGGGCAACAGGAGTAAGATCTTGTCTCAAAAAAGAAACAAAGAAGAATGTGACCTTAATTCTATATATTATCTTGAATTCTGTTTTTTCCTCATCTCAGTAGTATTTTTATGGTTGTCCTCCTATGCCCTTATTGATAGATTTAAATGGTCTCCTTGGTTTATTTATTTCCAACACAGGATTCTTTCTGAACTACCTTTTTTCGGGAGTGGACAATGATGGTATGGAGTCCAGATTCAACCCCAGTGTGTTCTTTCTAGATTTCTTGGTGGTGCCGCCCTCAAGGTAATACCCTTTAATTAACTTATTTCACTTGGAATACACATGTTAAGGAACTGAATCATGACCTCTAGGAGAGGCGGAAGGGCGGAGGGCACTGAGAGACAAAGCTCCAATTTTGCTCCAGGTGCAGGTGGTAGAAGGGCTTGCTTTCCTTCCCATTTGCTGTGAACGTGATAGGAATGTTGGTTGTTTTTGTTGTTTTTTTTTTTGAGAGAGAGCCTCACACTGTCTCCCAGGCTGGAGTACAGTGGCATGATCTTAGCTCACTGCAACCTCCGCCTCCCAGGTTCAAGTAATTCTCCTGTCTCAGTCTCCCAAGTAACTGGGATCACAGGCATGCATCACCACACCCAGCTAATTTTTGTATTTTTTGTAGAGATTGGGTTTTACCATGTTGGCCAGGCTGGTCTTGAACTCCTGACCTCATGTGATCCACCCACAGCTTCCCAAAGTGCTGGGATTATAGGCTTGAGCCACTATGCCCAGCCAGATTGTTGGTTGGGAATATTGGTTGTTTTGAGCGTGGTGGGGTGTGCTTCCTATAGTAGGCATGAGTGAGAGGCTGAAGAACATGACCTTTTCGTCACACTAAACATTCGTTGATTCTGTATGTCCCCCTGCAGGTATCGCCCAGTCAGTCGCTTGGGAGACCAAATGTTTACCAATGGCCAGACGGTGAACTTGCAGGCTGTCATGAAGGATGTAGTTCTGATTCGAAAACTTCTGGCATTGATGGCCCAAGAACAGAAGCTACCAGGGGATGTGGCAGTACCCCTTACAGATGAGGTCAGGGCTGCCCTGGTGCCGCTGTGATAAGTATACACGCTTAGTGGATGCAGATACTCGGTGCCCAGAGATGCTTCCTGGGATGTTCTGTGCAGCTGGCGGCACCCTTAGTGTGAGCTGTGGGCTTAGGGGGCACCTAGGAACATTAGGGGGACATGCATGGGTCTGAGCATGGAAAGGTCTGGGTTCTGGTCTAGGTTCTACTGCGAACGACCATGCCAGGTGACACTAGTTGAGTCACTTTCTTATACTAGTGTCTGCTATAAAATGCATATGATTTGTGGTAAGATTTCACACCTAGATTGTTCCAGGCTACCAGCTCTCAGCAGCTCTAGGGAAAACAGCCTGCTTCCCTCAGGCTCTGGGAGTGTCCCTTCTGGGTCATAGTACTAGAGCTCATGTCACCAGCTCTATTTTGGACACGTTAATGTCTCCAGCATTAGGGTCAGGAAGGCGGTATTGCAGAGTGGGAATTCTCAGGACAGTTTCAACTAACATTTCCTGAGCCCCTTCTGTGTGCCAGATTCAGTAGCAACTTTTCAGTGGGTACCTAGGTGAACTGGGCACCCAGGAAGCTTACTGAGGTCACCAAGATCTATCCCAGCTCTAAAATACTGTCTGGATGCAAATACACAGCTTTCAGAAGACAGGGTTCTCAGACCCCAGCCACTGGGACAGTCCTGCTGTCTGCCAGGCCCATCACAAGGTGGCGCCACTGTCTCCTGTACATGCTGCGGGTTACACTTAGGGCTTTCTTTGGTTTTGCTTGTTTCCTGATTGGTCAGCATTGGTGTGCTTTTAAAAACTCCTTAGGGTAAGCGAAATCGGCCATCTACAGGCCTTAGTGCAGTTTCTAAGGAAAGATCTTGGGATAACTGTACCCAGTGACCAGGGCTGAGAATCTTAGTTTGATATCCTTTAAAAATCGGGCATCTTGGCCAGGCATGATAGACCTGTAATCCCAGCACTTTGGGAGGCCAAGGCAGGAGGTTCATTGAGCCAAGGAGTTTTAGACCAGGTAGGCAAAGTGGCGAAACCCTGTCTCTACCAAAAATACAAAAAATAGCTGGGTGTGGTGGCTCATGCCTGTGGTGCCAGCTACTCAGAAGGCCGAGCGGGGAGGATTGCTGGGGTCAGGGAAATCAAGGCTGCAGTGAGCCATGATCACACTATTGCACTTCAGCCTGGGTGACAGAGTAAGACTCCCATCTCAAGAAATTAAAAAATATTGGTCATCCCCTTTGTCAAACAAATGCTTGGTTTCTGAGGGGTGAATAACATCCTCTGATTCCTGTGTCCCAGTGCCCTCTTTCCTTGTGATTGACAGGACCTGTCTTTATCTTCCCCCTTACTCTCGGTGTTCCATCCCCATGGCAGCCCTTACCAGGCACCGTCTGGGCACTGGGGATATGCCAGTGAGACAAGTTCTCACTCATTTCACAGTCACTGGCCCTGAGCCAGGTAATGCCATGAGCAGTGAGTTGGGCTTACAGGGCCCGGTCATCATGCAGGTGACCCTGTCTCTCTCTTGGACTCCTTTAGCCAGAAGGGGACCCTGAGTGTTTTATGTAGAATATGTCTATTTTCCCTGCAATTAAAGAAGGCTCCTGTGTTCCTCAGGGTTGAAGACAAGCCCATTTCATTACTACTAGGTTTTCATGACATTCTCATTTACTGAATCTTCACCCACCCTTACCCTCCCACCTCAAGACACTGACAGGTTTCTTCTCTCATCTGCCCACACTGGAAGACAATGGACCATCTGTCTAACACTCCTTGTGTCATACCCAACCGATGGGACAGTAGTGGCCACACAGTGTCAATAGGTGGTGCTGTAAGCCAGCTGAAGGTTTCCGTGTATTTCTGTCCCCTGGGTAGGAAGTAGGAGAAGAGGAAGAGATGGAGCTAGGGGCAAAAATATTAAAAAAGGATTGGTTAACTATTCCATTGAGGTTTGGCAATCAGCCAGTAACTTGATATAGTTCAGCTGGGGACCCACATCTTGACTGGTGACATAGAATATCATATGGCAAACCTAGTTCCTTTTTTGTTGTAAATTATTTTATTTCTTCCTTGATAATTTAGAGGGACTGTCTTCAAACCAGTACAAATATTTCATACATAATACCTGGCCATTTTTTAACCAATTGAGTAATTCGTTGCATAATAAGCTACCTCATGTCTTTCAGCAAAAAATGCATTAAATGTGAAAAGTAAAGACATTACATAATGAATTAGGACACAATTAAAATACTTCTTTGGGGGAGAGGACACTACACTTCTAATCAATGAACAGAAATGTTTTTATAGTCCAGAGGTCTTTTTTTTTTTTTTTTCACACCTATTATGCCATGAATTCATAGGGAATAGATTCCAGCAGCCCAGGCTCCTTCCATTGGTTCTCACAGTGTGTGCTGCTGTGGGTGGAGCAGGCTGGCACGTCAGCTGAACCCAGGTGTCTTTCTCTTTGGCTTCTTTCTTTTTCTGACCATTTTCCTTCACATGTTTCAGGAAGCTGTCTCGACTCTGAGAGTGCTTAATGTGCTCAATACCCACATTAATTCTCTTGGCAAGAATCTTGCCTTTAACTTTGTTTACAACAGTGCCAACAGCATGCTGGGTAACGTTGTAGACTCTTCCAGTTTAGCCATGGAAACACTGTGGGGCTTCCTTTTTGAACAGTACCCATTCTCTTGATGTCTACAATATCACCTTTCTTTTTTTTTTTTTTTTTGAGACATTTGAGACAGAGTCTTGCTCTGTCACCCAGACTGGAATGCAGTGTGTGATCTCGGCTCACTTCAACCTCCTCCTCCTGAGTTCAAGCAGTTCCCTGCCTCAGCCTCCTGAGTAGCTGGGATTACAGGTGCCTGCCACCACACCTGGCTAATTTTTGTATATTTAGTAAAGATGGGGTTTCAGCATCTTGGCCAGGCTGGTCTTGAACTCCTGACATCATGATTCACCCACCTTGACCTCCCAAAGTGCTAGGATTACAGGTGTGAGCCACTGTGCCCGGCTTGAGTAGAGAACTTCATAAGAAATGTATTGATGTGGGAAGGACTTCTTAGTTTTCAGGAATTGCATATGAAGGGACTTGGGCAAATACCATAAGAAAGGAGCATGCTTATAAATTTTGAGTTCGTCTTACTATTAGAAAGAGACAGGCGGGTAAATATGTAATGCTGCTAATGTCTGAGCAGATAACTGAGTACTTACGGACACATACTTACAAGACTGATTTATTAGCACATTGGTCTCTGATCGGTCAGGTTCGGAGGACATAGAGTGCATAGTTGTCAGAGCCAAGGTAAGAAAGAAAAATTAAATCAAGCCAGGCCTTCTAGAGCTTTTTTCCATGCTTGTTTTCTTGGTTTTATCTTCCAGGGAAAAGACTCTTTGATTACTATTGACAGAGCCTTTCTGAGTACAATTCCAGGGCAGTCCTTCATAGACAAACTTTACAACATTTGGATTCGCCTTCAGAGCCACGTCAATATTGTGTTTGATAGCGAGATGGACAAGCTAATGACAGACAAGTACCCAGGCATTAGGCAGGTGAGCAAAAAACTGGATTCCCATTGCTAGTTGCAGAGGGTACGTAGTAAACCTTGTGTATTGAAACAAGAAACTAATAAGCATAGCTGGTCATGATGGCTCACAGCTGTAATCCCAGTACTTTGGGAGGCTGAGGTGGGCAGATCGCGAGGTCAGGAGATCAAGACCATCCTGGCTAACACAGTGAAACGCCATGTCTAGTAAAAATACAAAAACATTAGCTGTGCATGGTTGCATACACCTGTAGTCCCCGCTGCTCAGGAGGCTGAGGCAGGAGAATCGCTTTAATCTGAGAGGCGGAAGTTGCAGTGAGCCAAGATCATGCCACTGCACTCTGGGTGACAGAGTGAGATTCCATCTCAAAAAAAAAAAAAAAAGAAACTAATAAGCATACGGGAATCCTTGTTAAATGTTTTTCATGGCCTTTTTTTTTCCATAAAGATCCTGGAGAAGAAAGAAGGCCTGTTCCGAAAGCACATGATGGGAAAGCGAGTGGACTATGCTGCACGCTCAGTCATCTGCCCAGACATGTACATCAACACCAACGAAATTGGAATTCCCATGGTGGGTGGGTGTGTGTGTGTGTAGGGTGCATTTGCTTCCTGTGGGCGGCAGACGAGAGTGTGAAGAGGGCTGGGGACAGGATGTGCAGCAGGTTATAGTGGCTTGAGCAGAACTACCTTCTGCCCCTTCCTGGACAGCCCACAAGGAGGTAACTGGAAGCTGCGTGATGGCATTGCTCTCACTCCATGCCAGGCTTATAGACACCTTCTACCCACAAGTCAGCACCAGGGAGCTAACTGTGGAGTATTCCACATCCCCACCCCCATAGCTTCCTCCTGCTCACCTCAGCCTAGTCTTTTGACCTTCCTCACCAAATTGAATACATGATGGGAAAGGAAGAGGGCATGGGGGATTTCAGTCCTATGTACTTTCTAGGCATCAGAAATCTGTACTCTGGGTTACTGGGAAGAGGAAAGGGAGCAAGCCCCAGAGAGAGGCATGTGCATGTTGTCCCTGCCCTGTTTTGCTCCTCAGGGTAAGTAGCTTGATATTCACCTGTTAGTGCTCTCCCCAAGCCCCGCTCCGGGAGCCGGCTTCATCTCACTTCCTTAGCACTTCATGCCTTGGTGCTCAGCAGCAGCAGCCTTTAATCGGCTTCCTCCTTAATGGGCCTTGAGGTCAGTAATGTGAAGGTGGTTTAATTGCCTCCGGGGAGAGCCTCATTTCCTCGCATGCTACCACCTCCGTCTCTCTCTGGGGACTGGTGATGAGCAGTGCTGAAGTGTTCTTTCCGATCATCCTGCGTGCCCATGGCCTCATCTCTGTGGCACACTTGGGCTTCCTGGACAAAGGCATGATGTGTCAGCAGACAGGAGTCCGAGAAGGCCCAGTCCTGTGTCCACTGCCTTCTGGGAACCGTAGTCCTTGCATCCAAAAGCTGGATCACATGGTGAGAACCAGCTTTACAAAGTCCAGGGGTGACATTCCCAAATCTGAGGCCCTGAGGACACATGTATCGAGTTTTGGTTGTACTCTTTGGACAGAGAGCAGGGGCCACTCCTGTTGGCTTTGACCTCATAGTGTCCCCAGCTCTGGCAGAGACCTTTCATGCTGCCTCTTCTATCTTCCTAGGGTGCTAGATTTCTCTTTCTTGAGTCTGGGTTTGTTTGATAATGGCTTGTCCCTGGAGGAGAGACTCTGAAGTCTCTTCTCTGTCTACCTACAAACTGCCCAAAGTCTCAGTGCCGTGGTAGCCTGGGGCATAGGTATTCCACACAGGATAGCTGTTAAGAGCAGAGTGGATAGAACTAACTGCCTCTGGCCCCTTGGATCACGTGCTTCCTATAGAGCACTATTGACAGCTGCCACAGGAGCAAGGAGCTAGAGACCAACAGTGAAGCACAGACTAGTCTGCTTCCATATAAAGCAGTGTCCGTGGTAGAGACACTAAATAGATGAACAAGTACATATATGTTCTGTTGGATGGTGATGGGTGATAAGTGCATCAGCAATAGTAGAGCAGGCTTAGGCTGAGGAGTGCAGGGGCTGGGGTAGCTTGAAGAGCCCTCTGAGAAAGTGCTGCTGCACGGTACCTGTACAAAGCTAGACAGGTTCCTTTATGCAGGATGTCTCAGAGCCTCTGGTGTATTTGTGTACATTTGGAAGCATTAGGGGTTTATAATATTCAGTAGTTCAAGAACTCATTTAACCCGGGAACTTGTTTTACTTGGAGTGTATTCCAGGCCTAGCATTAAACACAGCACACTGCATTTTCTCAGGTATCAGAGGAATGTGTCAGTTTCATCTCAGGTACCACCTTAATTATAATGTCTGCCAGAACTGCAGAATTGAGAAGTTTCAGTGCCATGTCTGGGCTCAGGGACAGTGCCATGATCCATTAGTGATGTCTGCTGGGGTGGATGAGGGATGCTGTAGTGTTTGAGGACAGGCATTTGCCGCGTATCTCAAGCAAGTGCTCTGACACCTTTGGGAACTTTGAGTTTATTGGCAGATAAGAAAATGAAGTTTTAGAGTGGGTTAAAAAATTGTAATACATAAACTGCAGCACTTAAATTTTTCTCCTCAGACTAACTGCTAGAAAAGGAGGCCTGGTCTCTATAGCATTAAGGGAGCTGCAGAAGCCAGGCAGGAAGTTACTTCACCCACTGAAAGGCCTTCTTGGCCAAGTCAGATAGCTCCCCCACATTTTGGGGGGAAAGACACAGCCTATTAAGACAGATTTGGGGCCCATGAGACCATTTTTTCTCCCTGCCCTGAATTTCTGCCTCCACTCCTCATTTCCAGGTATTTGCCACAAAACTGACCTACCCGCAGCCAGTTACTCCGTGGAATGTTCAGGAACTTAGACAGGCAGTCATCAATGGCCCCAACGTGCACCCAGGAGCCTCCATGGTCATCAATGAGGATGGCAGCCGCACAGCCCTGAGTGCTGTGGATGTGAGCCAACGAGAGGCTGTGGCCAAGCAGCTCCTGACTCCAGCCATGGGGGCACCTAAGCCCCAGGGAACAAAAATTGTGAGTAATGGGCAGCTTTGATCAGGGACCCATCCAGCTCCTGTTTAGATCCCAGTGACTGGCGGCCATCAGGTGTGGCTCCAGTGCACACTGACACAGGAACCCATCCCTAGGAATAAGCTCCCCGACACGTGGGTGGCTTTTAAGATTCACTTTGTAGTCCCAGAGAGAAAAATGGCTGCCCTTGAACAGGACTACTCAAAGGGTAGTCCCTGGACACTCAGTAGCAGCAGCAGTGGCATCCCTGGAACTTGTGAGCAATGCAGATCCCTCCACCCTTGCTGAATTCTAATCTCTGAGAATAGAGTTTGGAATCTTTCTTTATCATGCTTTCCAGAGGGTTCTTCTGTATGTTGACGTTTGAGAGCCAACAACTGGCAGGTTATAACTAATGTTTCCATTTTGGGTGATTGCTAATGCCAGCCCATAGTGCTGTGGTAGGGGATCCTGAGGCTCTATCCGGTTCCACTGGAAGGAGCACATGATCGATTAACAATGTTGCTGAGTGCATGAGATCAGCAGGTGACAGCTCTGTGGCTTTGTTACATAATTGCCATTCCTGCCGGGAGGGGAGTAGCAGATGACCCCTAACCAGGCAATGGTGGCAGCAGTTGTTGGAGGGAAATGGATTCAATTTGGGTATAACCCACAAGTGACTACCAGAGTCAGCAGGTGGCTGCCTGGATTTTCCTCATCCACCTGTACGGCAGGCAGGCCTCTCCTTGCCCTCTGCCCATCCATACTGCATGGCTGACCTGCTCTTCTTTGACACTGAGTTCAGCTCTGCAAAGTTGCATCAGCCTTGAAGGAACTTTGGAGGCACAGAGAGGAAAAGGAAATGCTCCTGGCCTTGTTGCAGTGCCCATCACTGCTCACCACAGGCCCTCTTGCTTCCTCTCATTCTCAGTGCTCTCTGAGGGACAGCAGTAATACACTACCTGTTTTCTCCTTTGGTGATGGGGCACATACAAACACAGATCAAGTTACCTCTTGTTCTTTTCTAGTGCACAGAGTAAGGTTTGTATTCAGGTTCGTAAAATCAGTCTGCCTGGAGTGCCTGGTGTTTTGCCAGGCACTGTGTGAGCAATGCAAAAAGAAGCAAGGTGTGTTTCATTTCACTTACGTTTAACTCAGTTCAAACGTGTGAAACAGACTCACAGTAGGAAAGGATGAGAGACAGACTAGGAGAAGAAGTGAGGGATGAGGCATTGCTGGTGCCCCCTGCATGCTAGCACTTTGCATTCCTTTTACATGGATCCTCACCACCCTGGTGTTGACAGCATGGTGGGGGAACCACTAGGAAGGGAGTGTATGAACGCATTGCTGTTGCGAAGGGGTGTGGTAGGCACCATAGGAAACAGCAGCTATGGACAGTGACTTTAAGCACATAATGCCCAAGAAGAAACAGGCTTGAGGGGAATGTGTAGGGCAAGTGGGCAGTGAGAGTTTGGGGTCATCAGGAGGCAACTGTGAGCCAGGTGCTGGGGCCAGCCTCTGGGCTAAAGAGGGTACTGAAGGCAGTGAACTCTTGCTGCTCCCTCAGGCCTCAGCAAGCCCTCATTCCTCTGGGGTCAGACAGTAAATATTTCCAACATCCTGGGCCATGCAGGCTCTGTTGCAGCTGTCAGCTCTGCTACATAATGCCAAAGCAGCCACAGGTAGTACACAAACAAATAGGCATGGCTATGTTCCAGTGATGTAGGAATTCACTCAGGGTGGTGGCAAAAATATTAGAGAAAGTTATAGACTATAGTCTCAAACCCTTTGAGAAGGCCTAAAGGATTTTTCTATAGTTCTTGGCTGAAGGCAGCCTAAATCCCCTTTACATTTAGTTAATAAGAAAAGCAAATAAAGTATGTAGAAGAATTTATCTGAATAACTTGTTTACTCACGTGGTCTTAAAACTAGTCTTTGAGCCAGATGGCCTTCTCGGGAAGGTCAGACAGGGATATTACCAACTAACGGTGTTTGCTTTAGGCATCAGAACCTGTCCTTTAATCTTTAACCTCTAATGGTGTTGACTCACGCATTTGTCAATTAAACTTTACGAAATGCAAGCCTCACTGGCTAGTAAGGGTCGGTGGCTGCTTTCTCTTTACAGCACTCTCCAAGCAGTCTGTAAGTGGCCATGGACCCTCAGCCAAACTCGCAAAGCATAGTATCTGTGTGTCAGTGTACTTTATTCACCAATCATTGAGTCAGGGTCTGCAGGACAGACCCCTACAGGTGGTGACCCCAACACAATAAAACTTCATTTACAGAACCAGGTGGCCAGTGTGAGGACTATAGTCTGCTACCGCCAAAACCTGTGTCAGGTGTCCCCCTGTGTTCCCCTCACAGCCAGTGTGCACACTCATCTCTCCACCCTGTATAGCCCTCGTTGCATTGTGTTCTCACTGTGTGTGCATCCACCTCCACCCTTGAGTTCCTGAGTCTCATGAGTTCAAGGGCAGGATGTGCTCTGCTCTCCCCAGCACCCAGCATGTTGAAGGCCTCGGGAAACCTTGTGGGTTACACAAATCCGGATTGAGGTGCGGAAGGCTCTGGGGTGTGATGACTCTTTGGACTTGACAACAGAGCCCAGCAGCAAAGTCAGGAGATGACTTAAGGAAGGAAAAGGAGTTCTTACATCAGGACCTGGGGGCTGAGGATGATTCATTTATCTCCCCAGATCTCAATGATGTTATTATACATGATACTTACACCACAATACATATGTGCTTATTTATTTGTAATTTTTTTTTTTTTGAGACAAGGTCTCACTCTATCTCCCAGGCTGAAGTGCAGTGGTGCAATCATGGCTCACTGTAGCCTCCACCTCCTGGGCTCAGGTGATCCTCTCGAGTAGCTGGGACCACAGTTGTGTACCACCACACCTGGCTAATTTGTGTATGTTTTGTAGACATGGGGTTTTGCCATGTTGCCCAGGCTGGTTTCAAACTCCTAGGCTGCCTTCCTTGGCCTCCCAAAGTTCTGGGATTACAGGCATGAGCCACTGCTCCCAGCCTGTAATTTCTGAAGACTTTGTCTGATGTGTTACATATGCGTCAGGCCAAGGCTGAAGGGCTGTGTGAAGGTGATTGGGAAGAAAACACTGAGGTCTGGGTGAGGAGGAACCGCAGGCGAGGTGAGGAGGGGAAAGGCCAAAAGGACCTATTTCCCCTGTGAGGTATGAAAACTCTGCCCTATCCCTTGGGCCTTGTAAATAAAAGAGGAAATGGCCCGAAGAGCCGGGGCTCATTGTCCTGCTCAGCAGCCTGCCAGAAGCAGGCCTTTGGCTTCAAGCCTGCCTCTGAAAACTCTGACCCTGGGGCACTGGGGCATGCTAATTTTCACTGCAGTATTTATTTAGAGACAAGAGAAGGGAATGCCTTGGGTTTGGGTTGGCGAGGGGAACACCCTGTGCTCCAGGGCTTCTGTTTGGATTGGCCAGTGCCTACCAGACTGGCCTGTGTACCTTCTCAGCTGTGGCGAGTTTGCTTATGCTGGATGATGTCTCGAATTTGCAAAACTCAAATCCTAGGCCCAGCCTGGCTTTTTGGGCTTAGGCCACAGGTCTAGGCAGTTTCTCCCTTGAGAGGCTAAAGAAAGAAGACCTCAGCTTGTATGACGCAGTCAGACAGCTGCCAGTGCCCTGGGCAGATGCTCATGGGAACCCTCAGAGTTTAGGTCTCCTTGGAAACACGGGACTTGGCAATGGGGAGGGGAAGGTTTGAATTCCTTGGGGAGCAAAAAGACAGACTCCATGCTAGGTACTTTTAGGCTTGCCTTGTAGCACTTGAGGGTTTTGCTCCCTGCATCTCTGAGCTAGAGAGAGAGAACTTTTAACTTCACTAAGTAGGAATTGGGGAGAGAGTTTTGGGGAGTATCTCTTAATTACCTTTAGCCTCTCTCTTGAATGAGCTTTCTCAATGCAGTTTCATAAATATGGGCAACATAAGAAGAAACTAGACTTGCAATGATTTGTTTTCTCCTACCTGTTATCTGTTGTGATTTAAAGGAGATTTGGGGTGGCAGAGGTTTCACTAAGTCTCCATAATTCCTTTGTACTACAAAGAGGAGCCCTTCAAAATGCATGGGGTGGCAGTGACCTTCATGCATTTGCTTTTTAAGGTGTCACTTTATGTTCAGTGTTTAGGAAGCCCAGTAGTTAATGTAATTAAAGATAAGGGCATTAAGAGTCTTAATGGGCAGTACAGGAAAGTCAGCTTTGTGAGAGAGATGTCTGTTAAAAGGACATGACCAGCCAATTATTTATAAGAGGGAGATAGTATGAGCAGTGGTTATCTTAGAGGGTTGCAATTACTTGTGATTTTTAAATTCTTATCTTTAAAATTGTCTGTATTTTCTGTTTTCCCTCCTGCACAGAGCACAGCACTTGTTCAATATTTCTTTCTTTCTTTAAAAATAAGTTGGAAGCTTTTTTAAAATTTACAAAAGCATCACTTACTCATTATAGGAAGAACAATGCTAAGATGTAAGAAAATAGCTGGGTATGATGGCTCATGCCTATAATTCCAGCTCTTTGAAGGCTGAGGTGGGAGGATTGTTTGAGTCCAGGAGGTTGAAGCTGTAGTGAGCCATGATTGTACCACTACACTCCAACCTGGCGACAGAGAGAGACCCCGTCTCAGAAAAATAGTAACAGCCTGGTGAGGATCCAAGCACATTTTTCCCATGTAGACACACACACACACACATACACACACACAATAGTAACAACCTAGTGAGGATCCAGCCACATTTTTCCCATATAGACACACACACACACAGACACAATAGTAACAACCTAGTGAGGATCCAACCACCTTTTTCCCATATAGACACACACTCACACACACAAACTGGGTTGGTTTTTAAATTGCTTTTTTCATTACCTTACATGTCACCTGGATTTTTTTTTTCTTTGCTGTAACACATTATTGCCATCACTTGAATGGCACAGGCCTTGTATATATTTAATTTATACTTGTTCACCACATAATATTCCATAGTGTGGATACACTGTTGCCACTTCATTGGGGCAGTAAGGTTATTTCTAGTTTTTGCTGCTGTAAAGGCTGCTGCATAAACATACATATTCATCTAACTTTGTGTAGGTGCTTTTTTTCCCTGAGGAGCCAACAGGAAATGTGTTTTAAGTGTTCTAATAGCTATTTTCAAACTCCATTGCCAAAAGACTGTGGCAATTTACAGTTCTTAATTTTTGAAGTGCAATAAAATGTCCTCTGAGGGTACTGAACTAAGAACCCTGTGTTCCAGTTCCGGGTCTGATACATGAAGCTGGGCACCTTTTTTGTGAAATGTAGAATTTCTGTTTAGACTAATGTGCTCACATGTGATAATGGGGGGATTCAAGAGTCTGCCAATTCCTTTCTAACCCAGTGGTTGGTTTTACGGTTATGTGCAGTCTTCAGGAGTTGTATCCATTTCTTTCTTCAGATTAATTTTCAGAGGAATCCAGGAACCTGGGAGGGCTATGCATCTCTGAAGAAGAGAGAGACCTATGGTCTTATTTGTTGCTTATACTTCAGAGCTTAGAGCCAGGATCAGGGCTGTAAAGGGCCGGGACCAGAGGGACCCAGGAGGTATTTCTCAGAGCTTTCTAGGGTTTTGCTCCAGATTAAAAATCCCCCTTGCATTTAGTCGACTAGAACATAAGCTAGAAACCACACCTTGGCCAGGTTGAGGTGAGCACTTGGAAAGAGCAGTGGTAATACTGATGTTTGCACTGATCACTCACCTGTCCACTCTGTTCCCAGGTGTGCCGGCATGTGAAGAATGGGGACATTCTGCTACTGAACCGCCAGCCCACCCTGCACAGACCCTCCATCCAGGCCCACCACGCCCGCATCCTGCCTGAAGAGAAAGTGCTGCGGCTCCACTATGCCAACTGCAAAGCCTATAATGCCGACTTTGATGGAGATGAGATGAATGCCCATTTCCCCCAGAGTGAGCTGGGCCGGGCCGAGGCCTATGTCCTGGCCTGCACCGATCAGCAGTACCTTGTTCCCAAGGTAGGTCTGGCCTTGAGGCCATTCCGTTGTCATCATTGGCATGACTTAGTACTTTTAACCTGGGCCCTGCTAGCTTCTGGGGTCAATAGGCAGCCCCAGGACAGGGACAGCTGGAATGGAGGGTCCTAGTTTCTCCCAGGTGGGGCTTTTAGCCGTCTAGTTGCCTAGAGGCTGGGAAATGTTTATTTCTTGCTGCGTTGTAAAATGTAAATCAGGACAGAAATTGTGATAGCTGTCCCAGAAAGCCAACCTTACTAGCTTCGTAATAGGTCTTGTGTTCAACACTGAAGTTTGGATTCTGCAACTTAATAGCCCTCGGCCAGCATTAGTATCCCAACACTGTAATGGTTCTCACGGTCCACACATGACTTTGATCCTTTGTTCTGACAAACATGAGCTTTAAGAAGCAGCCTAACCCCAAGGGCCCAGAAGAGATCCCCCAATAGCCCATGAAGGCATCTCCTCTCCTCTTTGAATCCCTTCCTTCTTTCTCCAAATTCAGTCCTCAAGGGCAACACCATGTGGTCACAGCTGTCCAGAGGGATACGTGGGTAGGACAGAACTTCCTCCCCACTCTCCTGAGCAGCTGACTCATGGCCAGGAGTAGCAGGGGCCTGAGTCAGCATGTGCTCATGGTAGGGACAGAGCGAGGAAAGAGGCAGGCAGCAGGGAAGAGGACAGAGTGTGTTCCAGTGCCTGCTTCGCCCTCACTACCCACCCAGAGGTCTGAGACCTCCCAAACTGTAAGCCTTTTGCACCACAGTGATTCACAATTATACATCATTCATTTGGATCGTGATGGAGTATGAAGAATAATCGTAACGTCAAACCAAGGCTCCCATTTCCCAAGTACTTTTTCAGTGCCATACACTGTGCAGAGAGCACATTAGAGGCTCCTCATTTCACCCTCCCCACAGTCCCTGGAGGTAGGTGCTATTCATGCCCACATTTTACACTTGAAGGATTCATGTAACTTGCCCATGGACACCTAGCTGAGAAGCAGGAGGAAGGACAAGGAGCTCCCCGATCTTCCTGGAGTTTGTGCTGCCACAGGGATGGAGAGCTCTGTACACAGGGAGTGCCTGGGGCTCCTCAGAGATGCTTAGCATCTCTGCTAAGTCAGCATCCTCTGCTCCTTGGAATAAGGCATGTGGTGAGGAGCGTGGTGTTCCGGCCCCCTTTCCTACCAGATGCACCACTGTGGCTTCATGAGGGTCCCAGTTGTTTTAGTTGGCCTTTCCTTTCTCTGGCCACCTTTGTGGGCTGTGGATTAGTGAAGGGACTAAATGTAGGAAGAAGTGGTGATGGGCCCACTCAGATTACTTGGAAATTAAAAAAAAATAAATTTGCTAATTTGAAAAGTGGCTTTTTATGTTCTCATGTAAATAATGTGGCTCTTATGGTGGTGGCAATGAAAGCTGACATTTATTAGGTGGGCCACAGGCCTTAGGCACTGCTGTAAGCAGTTTGTAGACATTCCCTTCCTTATGAGGTTGGTGTGATTTTCAGACAAGGAAACACCAAGTGAGTAGTATGTCAGCCAGCAATGAGACCAAGACTAGAACCCAGCAGCTTTGGATGACTCCTCCCTGCCCCCCACCCATGTACTTGGCTGTGCATGTTCTTAGCTCCACTTGACAGGTGAGGCTGGGACTAAGGGAGAGCAGGTGACAGGAAGCAGCTCCCAGGACTGTGTGGGTCTTTGACTCTCTAGCAGCCGAATCATATTTCACCAGAGGGGATACTACCAGGGAGCAGCAGATGGTTTTTTGCTGGCAGAGTGACTTGAGGGATTCACCGTGTGGGGAGTTGAGGCGCTCTGAAGTCCTCAGACCAACGACCTTGAATGTGCTGTACTTGATTTTGATTGAATAAGGTGCAAAGCTGTAGGAGGCTTCATGCTTGCTTTGTTTCCTGCAGTAGGCTGTAAATCCAAGTGGGCCTCATCACATGCTCATATGCCTAGGAGTTTTAGGTTGGGCATACACTTAAGGGAGACAGGAGAACACAAGTAAATAAGCTTATGTCAATAAATTATTTTCTTAAAAAGAAAAAAGCTTATGGGAGATGACTTGAAGATTCACTGTACTTTCATTGAGTTTCTTTTGTTAGAGGTAAAGAGCTTTTGATTCTTGATAAATTTTATTTAGTCTTTGGTATAAATGCCAAGAAGTGGAATCCTTATATTTGCTAATGGTTATAAAAATGCAACATGCCGTTAGTGTCAGAGTCATGAAAGGATAGGAGCTGATTTGGTTAAATGAGGAAGACCAGTATTTTGGGGTCATTTTTCTTAGTGTATTTTTATTTCCCTTAGTTTCCATATTTCTTTGTTTATAATTCCTTTTCTTCCCTAGCACCAGTTTCTCTTCCTTACCTAACCATAACACCAAATTAAAGTACATTTTATCGTTGGTTTCATGTACTTAATAGAGTTTTGTGGTGCCTTTTTACTTAAAATAGGAGTTGAATGAAACACTATTTCTTTTCCATAAAAACAGTTAAACTTTTCATTTATGTGTTAATTTTTAGACTAATTTTTTTTCCTTCTATTTATTTATTGAGGGCCCGTGCTTTGTGGAAAGTTTTAAAACAAAGCTTGAGATATGTTTCCTGAATTCTGCTTAGTCAGGTAGAAAATTCAAGTTACAGAATACCCTATTCCCAAAGCATCCTGACCAGAGACGTTCATTATAATGTCATTTTGCTGTGCTATTAAGGAGAATAGTATAGCTGACAGTTTTCTGGGGTTTTGATTCAGAGATGTTCTTTCTGAGTTTAAGCAGGATTTAGAAAATGTAGAATTATAAGTAGTCCTTTAGCAATTGCTATAATCAGCATTCTGCCTTAGAATTTGTGATTATTGCATTGAAAGCAATTTAGCCATTAAAGTAATTGTCTAGTCATGGAAAAATCTGGACAGACAGAGGAAAAGGCACTGAATAGATCACAGAACCTGTAATTATGTTCTTTAAGGAATAAAACAAAAGGAAAAATCATTATCTGCCCCCCAAAGACTGTGAGATGAGTCAAATCCATAATACTGGTTTGGGTTTTTCTCCCAAGCAAAATAAGACCATATAGGTAACAAGAGGTAGAGTGTAATTTTTTATGTATGTTAAGTCAAAGCATTCCTAAGAAGGGCTGTGTGCCCCATCTGATCTTGCCATATGTCTGTCACCTTTCCAGTTCATTTGTAATCATTACATTTGAGTTTACATTGAGCCCATCACTGTAGTGTTTATACCATTTGACAAGGATCCTTTTTATTTTTTTTGCATTCAGTTAGAAGAGTTAACTTAAGAGATTTACAAGGATCCTTTTTTTAACCTTTGAGTTAGTACATGTGGTTAAATTTCTCCCAGGCTGCATTTGTGAGTTCCTTTAGTCTTAGTTCTGAAACATGACCATACTGTTGCCTAGTATTTAACAAATAACCAAATGATTAACAATCTTTATATCCAAGGCACAGGTTTTTCTCAAATTTCTATAAACATTGAAAAGTTTACAAAAGCTGCATCTTAAAGAATGTCAGTGAGCATAGCTATTTTTACTTAGCATGCGTTATGTTTCTGTGAACACAGACCTGACAGATAAGGTTCAGGAGACGGGGGATCAGAATGGCTGTGAAAGCATCAGATGAAATTAATGCACTCACCAAATCTCAGGCTTTTCATAAAAGCCCTTGTTTTCGGCATCTGGTAGATAACAGCCTTTATTGAGGGCTCACTATGAGCCCTGTGCAGTGTTTTGAAAAGATAACTAATGACTATTCTCCCTTCTGCAGTCATGTACATCGGGCCCACTCACAACTCCCTTGAGGAACCTGTGCTGGAAGGCCTTCCTCCCTATACTGGCCAACTCACCCCTCAGGCCTCAGCTGTAAGACTGCCCTTCAGAGAGGCTATTTCTGACCATCCCCCTCCTTTGACCCATCCTGTTATTTTCCTCTTTGGAATTTAAAACACTTTGTGATACTGTATTTATCCAATCATTTGTTTACTGTCTAGCTCTTCATCATAAAGGACCATGTCTGTTTGGTCCCCTGGAGTAGGGAAGAGTCTACCCAGTGCCTCGGCATTCAGGAGGCTCTGGATAAATATTTGTTGAGTGCATGACTGATTTACAGAAGAGCCAAGCCAGAAATGTGTGAAAAATACTAAAGCATAAAACCAAAGTATAAAAACAAGAACACAGCTGACAGCAGCCAGACCAAATTTAGGCATAAGTGCCAAAAATATGCCGGAGTAACTAGAACCAGATGGGACTGAATGGAGAAGGCTTGGGGAGCTGGATGAGTTTGAAGCGGTTTTGATATAGGATAGTGGAGTAATGGCAAATATAAAAGCCAGTGCTAAACACTGGTCATGTGCTTTGGGAAGCAGTTTGTTCCCAAACAAGAACATAGTGAGAATGTGGGCAAGACAAGACAGGGATAGAAGAAGGGCTCTCGCTAGAAAGTGGCTTCCAGGCAAGTGATTAAGGATTAGAGTTTGACTTAAAATTTATGTTCATTCTTCTTGTCTTTTCTGTTTTGGTTTATAGGATGGCCAACCATTGGCGGGACTGATCCAGGATCACATGGTTTCAGGTGCAAGCATGACTACTCGGGGTTGCTTTTTCACCCGGGAGCAGTATATGGAGCTGGTGTACCGAGGACTCACAGACAAACTGGGGCGCGTGAAGCTCTTTCCTCCCTCTATCCTGAAGCCCTTTCCACTGTGGACAGGAAAACAGGTAATTAGGAGAGAGAACAGCCAGTGTATGTAACAAAAGGAAATAGGCCACTCATGTAAAAGGTTTTATTTTCAGAAGAGCCCAGACCAGAGACAGAGAACTGGCTAAGCCAGCAATAGTCTGACTTTCTTTCCCCTTTGTTTGGGGTTCCTGAGTCTGGGTGGCTTCAAGGAAGAGTCTGCTAAGACTAAACTTCATAGTTTCTGTCCTTTGCTTCTTACTTAAATTTGGTGTTCCCATAATACAAATATGGTGGTAATAGGCAGTGGTGCTGCTAGAGTGATAGCAATATTTGTTGGGAAGTTCCATGTGTTTGCTGAATGCTTTAGACATGTTACCGGAATTAATCCTCAAAACTAAGCTGCAATGCAGAGACCATTATTATCTCCCTTTAGGAGATGAAAATTACAGGCCCAAGACTACAGGAGACAGATCAAACCCAGGACTTTACAACCCTTGAAGCATCATACCATACTTTCTCTCAGAGTAACCAAATAATATATGTGGTGACCAAACAATGAAAAACAGTAAAATGTGTTCTACTCTTGCCTGAGTCTCCAAGTTCAGCCTTAAGGATCAACTTCTAGTTGGCTGTGTGATCTTGGCTCTGTAGGTCTCCATTCCTCATCATTTTCTGGGGCAGTAGAAATTAACTAAGCTAAGTTCTGATTCTAAACATGATTTTTCTCTGTGGAACCAGCCTGAGCCCACAAACAAATTCTTGTGTAGTATAGTTACTCTTGCCCTTTTCACCAATTCGCAAAAAAAATTAAAAAAAATAACCTTTACTAACCGTTAGAGACAACACTGAAAAATCTTACCCATGATAGAAGCAAAACCTGTACCTATTTCCTAATTTTGTTTGGTACAAAGGATTTTAAAAGGATTCAAGGTGTGATCTCTGGGCACAATGGAATTAAATTGGAAATCAGCAACCAAGATATTTGGAAAAGCCCTCAATATTTGTACTTCTAAATAAGTATTTGTTAAATAGCTCATGGGTCTAAAGAATCAAAAGGGAAATTAGAAAGAATTCTGAAGTAGATGAAATAAAAACACAATGTATAATTTATGGGATGCCACTTAAGCAGGACTTAAGGGAGAAATGTGTACATAAAATGCCTAGGTTGGAAAGAAGAAAAAGGGTCTCAAATCAGTGACTTCAGCTTCAGGTTGATGATCTCTAAGGTCTCTTCCTGCTCTCCAGTTCTTAGTCTGTGGACCTAGAACTTGATTTTCCTTTTTAAGCCAACCTTGCATTCTTGGGTAAACCTTCCTTGGTTGTGAAGTATTATCCTTTTTATATAATATTGAATTCAATGTACTAATATTTTGTTTAGAATTTTTTTACTTCTATATTTGTGATATTGGTCTGCAGTTTTATTTTCTTGTAATGTCTTTGTTTGGTTTTGGTATCAGGGTAATGCTGGCCTCATAGCATGAGGTGTTAGGAGGTATTTCCTCTGGTTTTCTGTAAGAGTTTGTGTACTACAGTACTGATATTATTTATTCCTTAAATGTGTGGTAGAATTTACCAGTGAAGGCATCTGGGCCTAGAGTTTCTTTGTGGGAAGTTTCTACTTAGAGCTATTGTTGGTTATCTACTTCTTTCTTTTTTGAGATGGAATCGTCTGTCACCCAGGCTGGAGTGCAGTGATGCAATCTCGGCTCACTGCAACCTCCACCTCCCGGGTTCAATCGATTCTCCTGCCTCAGCCTTCTGAGTAGCTGGGACTACAGGCAGCCACCACCATGCCTAGCTAATTTTTGTATTTTTAGTAGAGACAGGGTTTCACCATGTTGGCCAGGATGGTCTTGATCTCTTAACCTCATGGTCCGCCCACCTAGGCCTCCCAAAGTGCTGGAATTACAGGCCTAAGACACCGTACCCCGGTGGTTATCTGTTTCTTGATTGAGCTTTAATAGTTCATGTTTTTCAGAGAACTTGTCCATTTCATCTAAGTTACTGAATTTATAGGCATGAAGTTGTTCGCAATGTTCCTTTGTTGACCTTTTCTATCTGTAAGGCCTATAGTGGTGTCACCTCTCTCATTCCTGACATTGATAATTTGTGTCTTCTCTTTTCTCTGATCAGTTTGCCTATAAGTTTATCAGTTTTGTTGTTCTCAAAAAAAAGTTTTTGGTTTACTGACTTTATTTTTCTGTTTTCTATTTCATTGATTTTACTCTGATCCTTATCACTCCCTTTCTTTTGTTTACTTTGGTTGGTTTAATTTGCTCTTTTTTTCCCTAGTTCTTTAAGTTTGAAGCTGAAGTCAATTTGAGACCCTTTTTCTTCTTTTCAATCTAGGCATTTTACGTATAAATTTCCCCTTAAGTTCTTCTTAATTTGCATCTCACAAATTAATATGTTGTGTTTTCATTTTATCTACTTCAGAATAATTTCCCTTTTGATTTTTTTTTGATTCATGAGTTTTTAAAAAATACATTATTTAGGAGTACAAATAATTTCCCTTTTGATTTTTTTTTTGACTCATGAGTTTTTAAAAAATACATTATTTAGGAGTACAAATATTGAGGGCTTTTCCAAATATCTTTTTTGTTGATTTCCAGTTTAATTTCATTCTGCCCAGAGATTATACCTTGGATCCTTTTAAAATCCTTTGTACCAAATGAACTTAGGAAATAGGCCCTTGCTTCTGTCATGGTGAAGCTTTTCAGTGTATCTCCAAAGGTTGGTACAGGCAATTTTTTTTTTTTTTTTTTCAAATAGATGAAAAGGGCAAGAGTGACTATACTACACAAGAATTTGTTCATGGTTTAACCTGGTGCTACAGAGAAAAACAATGTTTAGAATCAGAAGATAAGGTACTTAGGTTAGGAAGTTTATGCCTGTTGCCCTGGGAAATGGAAGTTTTGGCTGTTTCTCCAGGACATTTCATACAGCCTCTTGATTGATTTCCTATTTATAAATCGAAGGTCTCTCATTATTTGTTCAAAGAGCATGTAAGAAAGAGAATTTGCCTCTTATTGCAAATCTCAAGTATATAGCTAGATGCACATTCACAAAGTGAATACATCTTTGCAAACAGTTACCCAGACTTCTGTGGATGTGCACGAAGTGAGGTTAGGGGTCAAGATTCATATTTTCCCATATGGATACCCTATCCAGTGAATGCAACATCATTTGTTGAAAAGCCCATTTCTCTACTGCTAGTACTCCTGTATCACAAACCAAGTAGTAATATATGAGAGGATCAAGAAAGAAAGAAAAAAGACTGTCTCAAATATTTTGGAGTCTTTGTATTTCCAATATAAATTTTAAAGTCAACTTGTGAACTTAGACACTGTGCACACAAATACCTGCTAGGATTTTTTACTTGGATTGCATTGCCTCTCTAGATCACTTTAGGGAGAATCAACATGTTTACAATAGTGAATCATCTGAATTATGAACATAGTATGTCCTTCAATTATGTAAAAGCCTTAGGCATCTTTTCATTAGAGTCACTCTTGGGTATTGCTATGGTAGATGTATTGTTTATTAAATTTTCTAATTGTTTATGGTTGGTATCTAGAAATGCAATCAATTTTGTATACTGTCCTTATAGTCAACAAGCTTTATGAATTCAGTTATTAGATCTCTGTCCTTCAGATTCTTTTAAACTATAAAAGCAAACAAGGTTATTGGTAAACATAAAAGGAAAATCTCCCTGCCTCCGCAACCCCACTCTCCATATATGCACATACTCTTACAGAAAATAAATATGAATGAGGCTGGGCGTGGTGGCTCATGCCTGTAATCCCAGCACTTTGGGAGGCCAAGGTAGGTGGATCACATGAGGCTAGGAGTTTGACACCAGACTGGCCAACATGGCCAAATCCCGTCCCTACTAAAAATATAAAAATTAGCCATGGGTGATGGTGCATGTCTGTAATCCCAGCTACTATCCCAGACTGAGGCACAAGAATTGCTTCAACCTGAGAGGCAGAGGTTGTATTGAGCTGAGATTGTGCCACTGCACTCCAGCCTGGCTGACAGAGCAAGATTCTGTCTCAAAAAAAAAATACAAGAAATAAGAATAAGATCATAACATACCATCCCTGGGACTGTTCAGGAGAGTGAACCACAGTTAAATCTAACATTCAATTTTGAGCTTATATTTGAAAGTACCAGTTTAACCATGACATCCTGGTACCTGAAGCATGCATTTTTCTGATCACCAGGCACACAGACCTCAGGTTTGTTTGCCCTTTAAGTTGACTTACTCTGAATGAGCCACCAAGTCCTCCAAAGGGAACTCCATTTTATCAGGCTGTCTTGAGTTTTTCACTGGGACCTCACTAACACACTCCGTATATAGCAAGAAGTTCATTTAAATGTTTTCATAGGCTATGTTGACAAATGTTTTTGTAATGGTTTTGTGACTGATTTCATTCACTGGATGTACTGGGGGCTCGTTCTGTGTCTGTATGTGTAGACCTGCCTCATTCTTTGTAACCCCTCCTATGTTGTATTCAGTGATACAGATATACCATACATGACTTAACCGTCCCTCTATCAGTGGATGTTTAATTTTTACCTGTTTTTTTACTATTCTAAACAGTGCTGTGGTGAACACCCATTTCTGTATATATTAATGTACTTTCATTGATATATCTTTTTTTTTTTTTTTTAGTTTTTGTAGAGCTGGGGTTTCACTATGTTGTCCAGGCTGGTGATTGTGAAACCCTGGCCTCAAGTGATCCTCCCACTTCAGCCTCCCAAAGTGTTGAGATTACAGGCATGACCTACCATGCCTGGCCAAGTATATCTTTTAGATAAATTCCTAAAGTATGGTTGCTGGGTAAAGGATATAGACATTTCATTATTTTTTTTTAATTCATTTTATTTTTGTTTGTTCTGTTTTTTTGAGATGGAGCCTCACTCTGTTACCCAGGCTGGAGTGCAGTGGTGTGATCTCAGCTCACTGCAACCTCCACCTCCCCGGTTCAAGCGATTCTCCTGCCTCGGCCTCCCAAGTAGCTGGGATTACAGGCATACACCACTACGCACAGCTAACTTTTGTATTTTTATTAGACACTGGGTTTTGCCATATTGGCCAGGCTGGTCTCGAACTCCTGACCTTGTGATCCACCCGCCTTGGCCTCCCAAAGTGCTGGGATTACAGATATGGATGAGCCACTGTGCCTGTCTAAATCCATTTTATTTTTAAGACTTTTTTTAAAGCTTAATACAGGCTTAGTATAAATAATAATTCCCATAGATAGTGCTACCCTTCTAGGCTTAAGAAAATACATTGCAGGTTTTTTTCTCCTAGCATAGTTTATGACCAGAAAGTAAATCATACATTTCTAGAATGTTAGTGCAGGAGACTTTAGTTCCTCTTCTCTGGGTCCCTTATGTTTTTTTTAATTGAGATATAACTCATATTTAACATAAAAATTACCATTTCATGAGGTAGGATTGCCTGAGGCTAGGAGTTCAAGACCAGCCTGGCAACACGGTGAGACCCCTATCTCTATAAAAAATTTTAAGAATAGCTGGGCATGACAGCACATGCCTAAGTCCTAGCTACTTGAGAGGTTGAGGTGGAAGCTGTCACTTGAGTTCAGGAATTTGACGCTGCAGCAAGCTATGATTGTGCCACAGCATACCAGCCTGGGTGACAGAGCAGGACGCTGTCTTTTTTTAAAAAAAAAAAAAAAAAAAAGGACCAATTCAAAGTGTATGTCAGTGGTTTTTTAGTGTATTTACCATGTTGTGCAACCCTTAACACAGTGTAATGCTAGAACATTTCCATCACTTCAAAAAGATGACATGTACCTAGTAAGGAAGGTACAACAGTCAGTCCCAATTCCTCCTTCCTCCTCATCCCCTGAGAACTGCTTTCTACCTCTGTGCATTAGCCTGTTTTGCACATTTCATATAAGTTGTGTCATACAATATGTGGCCTTTTATGACTTCTTTTACTTAATGTTTTCAAAGTCCATCCATTTTGTAATATGTAATAGTACTTTATTCCTCTTTATGGATGAATAACATCCCATTGTTTGCTTTTTATCCATTTGTCAGCTGATAAATGGATAGTTTGAGTTGTTTCCATTTTTTTGATATTACAAATAAACCTGCAATTAACATTTGTGTACCAGTTTTTGTCTGAACATGTGTTTTCAGTTTTCTTGGGTATATACCTGGGAGAGGAATTGCTACATCATGTAGTACTTCTATAGTCAACTTTTTTGAGGAACCTGCAAACTGTTTTTCAAATCAGCTGTACCATTTTACATTTCCACCAGCAGTGTATGAAGGTCTCAGTTACTCCACGCTTTTACCAACACTTATCTTTTGTTCTTTTTTTTCTTTATAGATTCTACTTCTAATTCTAGTTCTATTTCTGCCACCTCTGTTGTTAGTTCCACCACTGAAGTCTTGAACCCCTGAAAGTCATACTTAAGGGTTGGAATCAATTTCCAAACTCCTGTTAATGTTGATATTCCTCCCATGGATCACAAATGTTTTTAATGACATCTAGAATGGCAAATACTTTCCAGAAGGTTTTCCATTTACTTTGCCCATATCCATCAGAAGAATCACTATCTATGGCAGCTAAAGCCTTATGAAATGTGTTTCTTAAATAATAAGGCTTGAAAGTCAAAACAACTCCTCTATCCATGGGATGCAGAATGGATGTTGTGTTAGTAGTCATGAAAACAGCATTAATTTCCTTGCACATCTTCATCAGAGGTCTTGGGTACCAGACCTCTGGGTACCAGCAATTCTTAAAGTTACCAGATGCATTGTCAATGAACAGTAGTAGTATTTTGAAGGAAACTTTTTTTTTGTGAGCAGTAGGTCTCAACGGGGACTTAAAATATTCAGCAGAACAAGCTGTAAACAGATGTGCAGTCATCTAGGCTTTGTTGTTCCATTTCTAGAGCACAGGCAGAGTAGATTTAGCATAATTCTTAAGGGCCCTAGGATTTTCAGCGTGGTAAATGTGCATTGGTTTCAACTTAAAGTTACCAGCTGCATTAGCCCCTAACAGGAGAACGAGACTGTCATTTGAAGCTGCGAAGCCAGACTTCTCTCTAGCTACTTAAGTCCTAGGTGGCATCTTCTTCCAATAGAAGGCTGTTTCATTTACACTGAAAATCTGTTGTTTAGTGCAGCAGCCTTCATTAGTGATCTTAGCTAGATCTTCTTCTGGATAACTTGCTGCTGCTTCTGGCTTTTTTTTTTTTTTTTTTGAGACAGAGTTTCCCTCTTGTTGCCCAGGCTGGAGTGCAGTGGCACAATCTCAACTCACTGCAACCTCTGCTTCCCGGTTCAAGCAATTCTCCTGCCTCAGCCTCCTGAGTAGCTGGGATTACAAGTACCCACCATCATGCCTGGCTAATTTTTTTATTTTTAGTAGAGACAGGGTCTTACCATGTTGGCCAGACTGGTCTCAAACTCCTGGCCTCAGGTGATCCACCTTGGCCTCCGAAAGTGCTGGGATTACAGACATGAGCCAGCCACCATACCTGGCCTGTTGAGTATTTTTATCATGAAAGGGTGTTGGAGTTTATCAAATGCTCTTCTGCCCCCTTCATTTTATAGATGAAGTGGCGGGTCATATTTCCTTGCCCTTGGATGGGTGTGTTTCTGTTACCTTTCACACCAAGTTCCAGTCTTGACTTTGCTCAGCTTGGGGTCCCTACTGTGCATGTGGTATCTTGGTTGAGGTGCAGTTTGCAGCAGGCACCCCAGGGAAATGTCACCCTCCTGCCTTTACTCCCTCACTCCTCTCACCTCACAGTGCTGGCCTTCTGCGGAGCTGAGGCATGGAGAGTATGGGTCATGACCTTTCTGGTCATCTTCTGCTGAGAAAACAGGGAATATTTTTCGCTCTCTTTAATGATGCTCTTGCCCACTGTCCCCTACTCCTAGTGCACATGGGTGAAAAGGCAGCTGCTCTCATAACTGCCCCGCCCCATTGCGCATATTTTTAAATTTTTTTTTTTTTTTTTTTTTTTTGAGACAAGAGTCTTACTCTCTCACCCAGACTGGAGTGCACTGACGTGATCTTGGCTCACAGCAATCTCCGCCTCCTGGGTTCAAGCAATTCCCGTGTCTCAGCCTCCCGAGTAGCTGGGATTATAGGTGCATGCCACCATGCCCAGCTAAATTTTGTATTTTTAGTAGAAATGGGGTTTCACCATGTTGGCCAGGCTGGTCTCGAACTCCTGACCTCAAGGGATTCACCCTCCTCGGCCTCCCAAAGTGCTGGGATTACAGGCATGAGCTATCATGCCCTCATTGCATACATCTAAAGACACTACTTTGTGGGGCCTGCTGCAGGCACACTAAGCGCTGTTGATAGCAGTTAGTCTCCCAGCCCTGGAGCCTGTCACACCTGCAGGTCTGCCCCTGCCCTGCTTCATCTATGGGAATGTATGTGCCTGTGTTCGGCCCTTCTGGAGCCAACTCAGGTTATCCCCAGATAAAGCTTACTCCCTTTGATCTCTCTGCAGAGCAGCTGCTTGAGAAAGTGCTTCTCTTGGCTTGCTGTTACCAACTGCTTGTTGGCTGGATGACCCCTCTGAGGGATCCAGATGGGGGCAGGGAAGGATTCCCTGGCCTTTCAGTAGCTATAATTCCAGTCATAGTAAAGAAATATCTGCATATGTGGCATAAAATGAAAACAATTTACTTGTTCCTCTCCTTCCTTTAGGAATTTAAGAATTTAATTCAAGTCTAGGGGGTTATTCACATTAAGAACTGTTTTGGGGAGTAAAAATCACAGTTAAGTTCTTAGTCGTGTAGTTTCATTTTCATTCCTAATTGGTTTAAATAAAAACTAAGATCACCCTGTCCTATAGGTGGACCTGTCTGTTTTTCTTGCCATGCCCGAGATCATCAGAATTGGCTTTGCAAGGGCAGGAGGTCCTAAAAGGGAAGTTCTCAACTTTTCTTTTTACTGCTTTTTTCAATTTGTCCTCTTTCTTTGCAGGTTGTGTCAACACTGCTCATAAATATAATCCCAGAGGACCACATCCCACTGAACTTAACTGGAAAGGCAAAAATCACTGGGAAAGCCTGGGTGAAGGAGACTCCTCAATCTGTTCCTGGCTTTAACCCCGACTCGATGTGCGAGTCCCAGGTATGGCCATCCAGCTGTGTGGAGTGGAAACTTCTAGTCCCAGGGTTAGATAGATTGGTTTAAAACTGAGACAGAAATGGAAGCACATTCACAGAAGCAGGTACTATGCTTCAGAAGAGAAGGCATTGTGCCTGAGTTAGCATCAGCTTTTGTTTTGGAAAGGTTCAGGGTTGATCTCCGGCATTTGACCCTTAATATAAAACTCACAAGCAGTTGAGGAAGGCTTCTCCTGCAAAAAGGCTGAAATTGATTCTGCAAAGCTTGGCGCAGAGTCCGGTTTTCCCATAAGACTGCTGAGTGGCTTGAGATAATCAAACTGGTGTAAGGTTCTAGACCTTCAGCTCTGAGCCTTAAGAACCAGGCCTCAAAGGGCAGGCCCAGGGCAGAGAGAGCTGTCCACACTTCCAAGGCCTCTGCATGTTCCCAGTGGGGAAGTCCTTCCAGGTCGTCAGTGCACAATGCTTTATCACAGGGTCTTAACAGACAGTCTGTTCACCCCTGAAACAGATTTCTTTTCCTTTATAGACCATATGCTTTGTGAGTGCTGCATTATACAGCTAGAAATGCTTTTCTATTCATTAGCTTCTAATGCTTTAACCCTGAAAGGGCTTAAGGCCTTAGAGGATGCTAGGAAGATTTTGTTGTTACTCCCAGGGTTCAAGGGAGGAAGGACCTTGGCCAAAGGCACAGTTATGAGGTTGAAGCTCGCCACTTCAGAAAGAACTTGTGACTAGAAGCTCCCATTTCTGGTCACAAGGTCTTTATCAAGGGTACTTTGACCTCAAGTCAGTGTGGGTGGGTGTGGGAAGTAGGGGACATAAAACACATGGTGAGAGAGAGTGAGAGACAGACAGAGAGAGAGAGAGAGAACTGCTGGTCTGTATATGCTTGCCTCTTTTATATTAAAAAATATATATATACACATGCACGTGTGTGTGTGTGTGTGTGTGTGTGTGTGTGTAAATACTAGTTTCACATATGCCCTAGATTTTTCCATGAAGGATTCTAGGCGGGTCACAGAAGAGGGACATGCACAGTGAGGGTCACACATTGAGCAGAGGGCGGGTGGCTCCCAAAGGAGGCATGCCCCTCAGCCTGGCATTGGTGGCCTTGCTCTCCGCAGGTGATCATCAGGGAAGGGGAGCTGCTCTGCGGAGTTCTGGACAAGGCGCACTACGGGAGCTCCGCCTATGGCCTGGTCCACTGCTGCTATGAGATCTACGGGGGCGAGATCAGCGGCAAGGTTCTAACCTGCCTGGCTCGCCTCTTCACTGCCTACCTGCAGCTCTACAGAGGCTTCACCTTGGGTAAGTGCTGGGCTTACTGCCCTGGGGCTCCCCTAGGGCAGTGACCTGGCCCCTTTCAGGGCCAGCGCAGCCACCTGGCTATTTCCCAGGCCCAGGGCAAAGGGAGCTGTTCACACTGAAGATTTCCAAGGCCCCTGCGTGTTCCCATAGAGATGGCTTTCCAGGTGCTACATTATGCAGCTGGAAATGCTTTTCTGTGTCCTCTCAGGGGAAGGAGCTGGGAAGCAACCAGGCTACTCCTACAAAGGCGCCTTCACTTGGCCACCCCTCTCCTCCGCAGCCAGTGCTTATTCCCCTCCACGGTTTGAGATGGCACCCTGTGCCCATTTTCATTCTGTTCCTTTCCTAACCCCTCCCTTTATGGATTTCTGTCCCTCAGACTGAGTACTTGTACAACCCCATTCCCTGTTACAAGTGCCCTTTCAGAAATCTTGGGGCCCATCCCACTCCACAGAGGGGCTTCACTGTTGTCAGAACTGCTCACTGCCGGCTGGGCACGGTGGCTAACACCTGCAATCCTAGCACTTTGGGAGGCTGAGCCAGGCAAATTGCTTGAGCCCAGGGGTTCGAGATTAGCCTGGCCAACATGGAGAAATGCCGTGTCTACTAAAAATACAAAAATTAGCCAGGCGTGGTGGCAGGCACCTGTAATCCCTACTACTTGGGAGGCTGAGGCAGGAGAATTGCTTGAACCCGGGAGGCAGAGGTTGCAGTGAGCTGAGATTGTGCCATTGCACTTCAGCCTGGATGATGCAGCAAAAGAACTGCCCACACCTTCCCAATGCATTGAGGTCGTCAGTGCTCTTGGAAACACTATGCTTGGCAAACCTGTCGGCGTGATCTGAAGGCAGCAAGAGGGACTGCCTCATTTGAGTTCTAGAAATGAGAGCACACTGTTTTAGGAAAGTGACTTTGATAAAGAGGCTTCACCTTGGGTGACTGCTTGGCTCACTGCCCTCGAGCTCCCTTGGAGCAGTCACTTGGCCCCTTTTAGTGTGGGCTTGACATTGGATCTGCCCAAAGGCTCAGCCTCTGGCCCGGTCCAGCCCTTCCACACTGTTCCCATTAGGGGGACGCAAGATGGTGCGTGTTGAGCATGTACCACAGTGCGCAGAGGCAGTGTCTGGTTCATAGTGGAAGTAAGGCTTCTGTACTTCACAGACTTACTCGTGTGCAGACAAAGTGGGAATCTGAGTGAAGGGCCTGTGGACCTGCATCTGCTGCAGTTGGAGTTTGTTCATTAGCACACACTGAAGCCTGCATTATGCATTGTATTCTATTTTAATTGTATCATATATTTAATTGTGGAAAATTTTTTTTAAAAAAGCATACATGAAGATAATTTAAAATCACCCAGCATGCATTTGTCAGAGATAACCACTAATAGTAATTTGATGTCTGTTTTTCTGGACTTTTCTAGTCAAATACATTTGGAAAAAATGGGATCCTACACTACATACTCTACTTCCCCCACCCACCCGCCAAATGTCCAGATGTATTTATAAATGTCCTTTGGGGTCAGCTAATACAAATCTACACGCTCATGTCTCATAAACTACAGATTCTTCCATTCTTATGTATATATCATAGCTTAGTTAACCAGTTTCTATAATTGATCATTTAGGCTGTCTCTAGATTTTCACATTGTTACCAGGATGAACACCCTTGAACAAATATCTTGGCTTGTATGTTCCATTATTTTACCAGATTAAGGATTATAAGTTACTAGTCTGTTTGGCAGCTGAAACTCACCTTCCTCCATCTTAATTCCTCTAAGAGGCCTGAGCCACTAATGGGGACATCTGTCTCCAAGGGCACCCACTTCCAGTTGGGAACCAGACTAGAGTCCCTTCCAGGATAACCAAAGAAAGTGAAGCATAATGACTACACTTCATGAAATGTATATTTCAATTTCAAATGTTGACCTAGAATGAGCACAAGGATTTCTGCTAACTAGAAAAAATTAGAGCACTTTTGAAACAAAAATAGAGGAAGATCCCATCCATACGCAGCTCATGATGAAGACCAAACTTGACAAAGGTGCCAGGCTTTAGCTCTGCTTGGCGCATGGTGCAAAGGACCATGAGTCTGAAGACAGTCCAGAGGCTCACGGCTGTGAGAAGAAGCAGGGCCAAGCTGGGAGTGGGGCTATGAGGGAGAACAGGTGAGAAATTGACTTCACTCCAGCCCGTCTGAGCTAGAGAGGTCTGTGAAGGGCACAGCTAGATGGCCTGGAGCTGACCCGATGGGAAGGCCCACTTTGATGATGTGGCTTGCTCACAGAGGAACTGTTTCTTTCCCCTTCTGCTCACACATGTTCTTAGAAGTCCTCCAGGACCTTGCATCGGGAATACTAAATATTTCAGCCCCATCTTTTGAACAGTACAGCTACTGTTTCCTTTCTCACTCAGATCTTGGCTGAGGGACTTTTGAGTCCAGTAACCCTCACAGATAATAGACAAGAACTAGTTTGATCAAGAGTTGATGTGGAAAGACCTCCTTCTGCCCAAGATGAGGAATTCCTCAACCCTTTGAGCCAGAAGGGCAGGCTTCACTGAAGTGACCCAGACTTCAGTGACCCAGGCTGTCATCCTCCTGAGGCAATGCTGAGGGACCTGTGGTGGTGGTCCCTGTTGCCCAGGCTCGGGTGTGTCTGTGTGTTTGCCTGCACAGGCATACTCAAGCTATGTAGGGTGGCCCCTGTGACATGTGGCCTCTGGTACCCCAATCTAGGATGTTTTCTATCTCTCTCTCCCTCTCCCCATCTCTCTCTCTCTCTCTCTCTCTCTCTCTCTCTCTTCCTTCCCTGAGCTTACCTTTTTATCCAGAACCTCTTCTACACCTTCAGCCTATTCAACCAACACGTATCTATGGAATAGAGGTAGTATAGCTGGTGGCTAAGAGCATGAATTTGGGGGCCCAGGCCTGGGTTTATTTTCTACCTATATGACTGCAAGAAAGTAGCCCAATTTTGAGCCTGAGTTTTGTCATTTGTAAAATCAGGATTATAAGGTTTGATCTCTAAGAGATGGTGGCAATCTATTAGTAATGATGTTAATATCATCTTCATTACTCAGGTGTTTCCTGCGTCTGTGCCACTGGGCTCTGTGCTCTGACCTTACTAAGTTTACAGTTTGATGGGAGAAGTCAGGCCTGAGGTCCCCTACATGCTTGTTTGTTTCACTTCACAGGCGTGGAAGACATTTTGGTGAAGCTGAAGGCAGATGTGAAGAGGCAGCAGATCATTGAAGAATCCATCCACTGTGGGCTCCGGGTAAGGAGGGCCTTTGAGGCAGTGGTCTGCCCTAGAGGGGTGAAGTGTGCACCCAGTTGAAACCCCATCCTCCTCATTTGGCCACAGCCTCCGATGTGTTTCTGTTCTCATTCTAGGCTGTCAGGGCTGCATTAAATCTGCCAGAAGCCGCATCATATGATGAGGTCCGAGAAAAATGGCAGGATGCCCATCTGGGCAAGGACCAGAGGGATTTTAACATGATTGATCTGAAGTTCAAGGAGGAAGTGAACCATTACAGCAATGAGATTAACAAGGTTAGCCCGGCATTGCATGCACTTATCCCACCATTTTGAACGCTGATTTTTTAAAAAATTACATTTTGATTCTCACCCAGGCCCTATAGAGCACTTTGGCTGTTTAACAGCTGTCTAGGTGAGATGTGAGGTGGGATGGGTAGAACCCATTGTTGTGAAGAGCCCAGGGGTTTGTTCCCTCCCTCAGTTAGGCTCTAGATAGGCCTCGGAATAGTGCCAAGAGAGAGAATGCTTTGTGCTGTTTTTCTTTTTAAGTGTTTTTATTTTGAGGTGACTGGATCAGAGGGGCTGAATGGGGCCACTAGGGGTGAATAAGCAGGATGAGGGACCCAAATCGCCCCTGCTGCTTGTGCAGCGGAGCCAGGAGTAAAGGCTTAGGTTCCAGTCCTGCTCTGCCTTGAACTTGCCATGTGGCCTTGGGCAAGTGAGATAACAAGTCCATGCCTTGGTTTCCTCACCTGAAAGTAGATTGTAAGGGGCACCACCTCATAGGGCTGCAGAGAGGCTTAAGGAGCTACTATTACACAATGCCAAGCCAATTCCTGGGCAGTTGAGAAAGGAGAGGGAAATCTCTGCATGAGCTGAAACCACAGCCTGCTTTTCTCTGCCTTTCTGCCCCAGAGCCAGGGCTCTCCATCCTGCTGCTTGGAGAAACTGGCCTGGCCCTCACCCTGCCTCCTGGGCCCTGAGGCCCAGCCTGAGGAGGGCAGGAGGAGATAATGCCAACGCTCATCAAAGTCAGAGTTTGTCTGTGGTGCTCTCTTGCCTGGCTTTTAGCATCCCTTAGGCGGTGAAGAAGATAGACCTCTCAGTGGGGACCAGTTCCATCCTTGAGGGGTTTTGTTGACAGGAGCCTTCCTAGCACCTCCCTGAGAATCAGGAGGCTCAGCTTCTAGGGCTAACTGGGGATGCTGGGAATAGGGAAGTTGTCTTCAGATATGTCTCAGAATGGTTTGTGCCTACAGTTGCCCTCTTCCTGTCACCCCTGCCTACCTGTGGGCTCTGCCTCTCCTGTGTTGGGCTGAATCTCTGGAATCCCAGGCACAGGCTGAAGCCCCAGACTCAGAGCCTCCCTTCCCAGCATCTCCCCAGTTTCCCTCTGAAGGGGCATACTTGGTTCTACTGGTCCTGGAGCCAAGCCAAAGCTTTCTACATAGGGCGTGGATGGCATGTTCGTAAATGTGATGCGGACATTGGTATTCATGCTGGGGGAGGACCCAGGCCAGGCTCTGCTGGGTGAATCAAGGGCATCAGCTTAAATTTTATTCTTCTCCAGTTTCTTTTTAGAATCACGAACTGGATCTGCCAGCCCCTCTGCTTCTACTTTTCCTTCTCTCTTTTTGCTACTCTTTGGCCAATGAATGGAGACTCGGGGATCCTAGCAGAGGAAGTTCAGCAAGTGCAGAGCAGGGAGCACCTGTTTGACCTCTCAGGGGTTCCAGGGAAGGTTTAATGCCGAATGATGCTTTCCCTTACCTCAAGTGGGATTTAGCACTTAGGTCTGAATAAATATTCTGGCTGTATTGCTTCTGCCTCCTGGGATTTTTAAAGGGGATGAAGTCACTGACCACTGTACCGATTTAATCTGCAGGCATGCATGCCTTTTGGTCTACACAGACAGTTCCCAGAGAACAGCCTGCAGATGATGGTGCAATCGGGAGCCAAAGGTTCAACTGTGAACACGATGCAGGTGTGAGCAGAGGCGGGTTGGCAGCTTTACGTGTGTTGGCAAAGAAGGGTAGGGGACAGTAGTAGATGGTTTTCAGTTTGTTCCCTATAAAACGTGGCAAGTACTGGAAAACAGAAAAGCATATAGAAATCACTATATGCTAACCACTGTTAACATGTCAGTGTTAAAGGCAGATGTAGCTGTGAATATGCAGATGTGATATGTATAATGTAGATGTGTATTATGAATTTACGAGCTATGCTATTGTACGGCATACATTCATGTTATATAGGTACATTTGTATACACTCACAATTTTGATGTAATTTTTCATGATCTTAATATTATAAACATTGTTCTAGAGATTTCTTAACCTTAAATCTTGATGTCCTTGGGTCTAAAGGCCCACCCCATTGTCTATTGAGTGTGACAACAGAAAGGCTGAAAGCCATTAGGAAATCCCCTGACTAAATTGAAACCTAGATATACTGCTCTCCTCCCCCAACACCCCAAGAGTATTAATAGGCAACTTTCTAAGCAAACAGCTCAATAGCTTGAGTTCCCACCTTTTTTTTTTTTTATTGAAAATAAGACAAGGTCTCCTTGTATTGCTCAGAGTAGTCTTGAACTTCTGGGCTCAAAGGATCCTCCTGCCTCAGCCCCCCAAATTGCTAGGATTGCAAGCATGAGCCACCATACCCAGCTCTGAGCTCCCTTTTGGCTCTGGAATGTGAGGATTACAGTAAATGGCTGTTTCCTGCAGACCTCCCTTTCCCCATTAGGACCTTCCAGTCCCTTACAGGTATAACATGAGATGGTTCTGAGACATGGCCCCTTTTATAGCTATCACCCATTTTCAGCTGACCCCAAATGTGAAAATCCAGATCAGTCAATAAAAGGAAGATACAGGTTTTTTTTTTTTTTTCTTAAAATGAAAGCTTCCTGGTTTGTTTAGAAATGTAGGTTAGCCTCAATGTAGGTTAAACCCCATTTCCATGTAGCTTTTCTTCAAGGTCAGATTATACCTTTCCAGCTGGGACAAAGCACTGTTGAACACACATGTGGGTCTTCAGATTCCTGTGGGTTTCCTGTCCTCCAGATCTCATGCCTGCTGGGCCAGATTGAATTGGAAGGTCGGAGACCCCCGCTGATGGCATCTGGCAAATCACTGCCCTGCTTTGAGCCTTATGAGTTCACCCCCAGGGCTGGTGGTTTTGTCACTGGCAGATTCCTCACCGGCATCAAACCTCCTGTATGTATTTTGGTTTTTCCATTGTCTTTTTCCCTCATTTCTAGGCTTAATTGTAGACACACTGTGACTTCTGCCAATGACTTTGAGCAAGAACAGTCAAGTGATAAATGGCAAGCCATTTGCTGTTTACCCACCAGACACTAGGGCCTATGAGGACACAACCACATAGTGTTTACCATTGTAGTGCCAGAGCCTAGAGCGGTGCTGGCCATAGCAGGTGCTCGGTAAGTGTTTGCTGATAGATGAAAAGACAAAGAGGACAGTCCCAACTCCACTCTGTTCTTCTGTGTGACCTCTAAAGCAATTCCTATCTGCATTTGGAGGCAGCTGGGGGTGGGGTGCCACTCACTTGGGTGCTCTCACCAAAACGAGCATCACAGAGATTTATTTCCTTCATAATGGGACTAGCTGTAGCACATGTCTAATTTTGGCTTGTCAGAAGCAGAATTCTCCCTGAAAAGAATGGTTTCTCTCCTCATACTTGTCAGAAATGGCGTTTTTAGAATTGATATCTTGTTCTTTGGTCTAATACATCTCTGAAAGGATGACCTTTGTGATCAGACATCTAAGCCCAGCTCAGGGGACCAACACTTTGTTGCAAGGCTACCAACTGCTCCAGCGTCTTCTCCACAAGCCCCACACACTCTGTCTCCACTGGTCATTCATGGCCTCTGGCAGGGATGGTGCGGAGTTCCTGTAGACCAGACTTCAAAAAAATCTGATTGTGACCTCTTAGTGAATCATAAAATCATCATAGTGCATAGTGATCAGCATTTTTTAATGCAATGAAATAGAATAGAGGGGTAAGGACAGTATCAGAGTTTATCTCCTGTAGTAAAGGATAGGATTGTGTCAGCAGGATTTCATTTGAATTACATATTGTTATATGCACACATATGTATATGTCTGTTTGCTGATTACAATTGTAAATGTATTTCTTACTGTGAGTTGTAATCAAAAAGCTTGGAAAGCATCCTGTACCCGTTAACACTGTTAGAAGCAGAATTTAGACATGTGGGCTGAAGCCAACAGTGGTAAGGCACCAGTGCCGTTTCTATTTGGAAAATGGGGCATGGGTTGTAATCCTGGAGACCCATGGACTGTTACTTCTGGTCTACTTGTCCCTCTGCTCTTGGGCAGTGCGAGGCAAAGAGAACCACAGGGTAGGGCAGAAGACACTGGGGGCCATTGTAGCTGTGGAGGTCAAAGTCCTAGGAGATCAGGGAAGGGAGTGGCCTGTCTGGTTAGGAAAGGATGCTGGAGGTGTTGGCCTAAACCCTTTAGGAAGCACACTCTCCTCACCTTTGGGACCTGGGTTCCATTCTCTGCAGGAGTTCTTCTTCCACTGCATGGCAGGACGAGAGGGCCTGGTCGACACTGCTGTGAAAACTAGCCGCTCAGGCTATCTCCAGAGGTAAGAAGCACCTGCCGTGCCCCCTTGAGATATAGTCCCAAGGTCCTTCATCCCATCATCTTTCACATTACATCAATGGCTCATTTAAGATTCTCTGGATGAAAAAACTTCTTAAAAGTTTCCTTGAATGGCCTGAGACAGCAGCAGATACTCTTCCCCTTCTGCAGGATTGGTAGAGCTCAGAGGCTTATACAAAGGGCTGTGTGTTCTGAGGGTCTTTCATTCCCTGGGGGAAGCTATGGCTGTGGGAGAAAGTCTTGGACAGTGGCAAGCTTGTCTTGCTTTCTGGAAGGCTCAGCTGCCAAGACAGTAGTGACTACTGGCTCACAGCTTGGGGTCGGGGGACAGTGACTCCTGGGAAGCCCTCTCAGGGTGGCAGGAGGGGAAACCTAGGCAGAGTGGCTGGAAAGGTAAGAAGAAGGGCCAGGACTAGGGCAGAGAGCAGGAGAAGTTGAGCTAAGGCTGAGGAGAAAGGCCACCAGCTGAGGGATTCACATCAGCGTTTAGTTCCCAATACCCCTTAGTGTCCTTGGTGATCCCTGGGCTGACCAAGTTTGAGAATCCTTGACAGCTCCCCTGCTTTGCCCAACTTGTGGTTCTGAGGACACTGGTCTCTGGGGAGATCTGCGTTGGAGGAGAGTGCAGGGGCAGGCAGTCGTTGAGCACTTAGGGCTAGATGGACGCCCACTTCTAGGGGTGGTAGCCAAGCCTCTCAGTCACATGACTGCAGCCTCCTCCTCCTAGAAAACCAACAGGAAATGCAGCCTCTGGCTGGGGGATGCTGGAGCCAGCCCAGACCCCGGGGCATTGAAGCCAGCCTGTCCTGAAGTCTTGCTTGCCTGCAGAATGGCAGTCTCCCTTTACCTCCCCTCCACTGCCCCCAGCCCTCATCAGAGGCTGTCTTGGGAGGTGATGAGCCTGGTGGTGACTGAGCTGCTGGTGTCCTTACAGGTGCATCATTAAACACCTGGAGGGGCTGGTCGTGCAGTATGATCTCACAGTCCGAGACAGTGATGGCAGTGTGGTACAGTTCCTGTATGGGGAGGATGGCCTGGACGTCCCCAAGACACAGTTCCTGCAGCCCAAGCAGTTCCCCTTCCTGGCCAGCAACTACAAGGTAGTGTGGTAGACTACAGATCCTGGGGGCCGAGCAGTGGGCCTCTCCGCTAAGGTTAGAGAACTGGAATGCCCTGAGCTTTGCGACCCAGTCCAAGTGGACGTTGAAAAGTAGAGTGGGGAGGGTTTATAAGGCAGCAGTCAGTGCCCTGAAATACTTGACAAGTTCAAAGCCTGGGGACTTTGATCATGTGAGGTGACTACTGAAGGGCATGAGCACCTCTGGAATAACAGCTCCTGTTTGGGGCCAATTGCTGTGTGCTGGGCCCCCAGCTAAAGCATACTAGCAGTACTACCTGTTTTCCTCCTCACGGCAACCCAGGGAAGTAGGCGTTGCTTTGCCCATTTTACAGCTGAGACAACTGAGTATCAGAGCCTAAGTAAGCAGTGTGTGTGCCGGAGCTAGCATTTGAACACGGGCCTGTCAGACACAAACTCCCCATTTTCATTCTGTACCTTAATACCCTGGTAGTGACCATCACTGTTGATTGGGCAGTCACCCCATTTGGCAGATGGGGAAACTGAAACTGATGTGACCTGTCCAAGATCATCAAGCTGATGGTAGAATTGAGGGTTGTGCTCTGGTGCTGGGTGGTTTCCATCCTGGTTCCTGTCCTTGAGCTTGGCCATCGCTCTTCCCCTCTTCCTTTCTTCCCAGAAACTCCCTTGTGCTCCTGGAGGGGCTCTGAGTGTGCTGCTTTCTCTCCCATGCCTCCCTGTGCTCCTAAGACCATTGGTTCCCAAGTCTGGTTTGCGCAAAATGAGAGCCCTGATTAGCAATGGATGCTCAGCCTCTTGGAGAGTGGGTGCTTGGCCCCGTCGTGAGGGTTCCACACCAGCTACCTGGGTCCCCTCAGGTGTTGTGCTCCATGGCCCTCATCTCTTTGATCTTGTGTGTGATTTGTTTGTTTGTTTAGGCGATAATGAAATCAAATCATCTCCATGAAGTTTTATCCAGAGCTGATCCCAAAAAAGCTCTCCGCCACTTCAGAGCCATCAAAAAATGGCAAAGCAAGCACCCCAACACCCTCCTGAGAAGAGGCGCCTTCTTGAATTATTCCCAGAAAATTCAGACAGCTGTGAAAGCGCTGAACCTTGAGAGTGGAAACCGGAACGGCCGCAGCCTGGGGACCCAGGAGGTGACTCAGGGAGGTGGTGTCCTTAATGCCCAGCACATCCAGGCTTAGTCAGTGCGTGAGGGATGAGGGGTTGTTTTCCTAATAGAGGGTGGAATCATGAATTCCAGCTTTGTTTACCATCAGTCAGAACAGAATGGCTTTCAAATGGGAATGTAAGGAGGGGACTCTTAAGGGTGTAGGCAGGATTTGGGGGAACTAAATGGGGCCAGTGACTTTGGGGTTCCCCACCACCCCAAGTATGAGGGAATAGGGAGCAGTCATGAGAAACAGAGAGGACGGCTATGTGCCAGGGCCACTGGACAGAGCCTTGGGTAGAGACCCACTAGAGGGGGTTGGGGATAAATACCAGGATCCTCTTCCTCCCACCTTTCCCTCTGTTGCTGGTGCCTCCCATCATCCAAGCACACCTGGGAGCTGGAAGTAGGGGGTCTCTTTGAAGCAGTTACTTTGGGACAGCCTTGAGGGCACAGAGCATGTGAAAGAGCCTGGATCCAGAGGTAACCTGGCTCACAGTGACTACATCCTAGCTGGCCTGAGACAGTCGTGGTTTTTGCCTCTTGTCCTAGCCTAATCATAACTCTAAAAGAATCCCAGTTTGCTTAGTAAATTAGATGCTCACCCTCCCTGGGCTTGAATGGGCCAGAATGAAGAGCTGCTAGACATGTAGTGAAGCAGGGTACCCTGGGACAGATGTAAGTCTCTCCCCATTTTAAATGGGGAGATGGTTTCTCATTGCAATCAGGTTTCTGCTTTCTGTTTTCCTTTACTCTCATTGGAAGCCAATGCCTTTGATCCCCCTTATGCTACTGGGTATCCCTCCCACGTAGCTGAGACCCATCCTTCCATTCAGATGCTGAGGATGTGGTATGAGTTGGATGAGCACAGCCGAAGGAAATACCAGAAGAAGGCGGCCAGTTGTCCTGACCCCAGTCTGTCTGTCTGGCGCCCTGACATACACTTTGCATCAGTGTCAGAAACATTTGAAACAAAGGTTGATGACTACAGTCAAGAGTGGGCAGCTCAAACAGAGAGGAGTTATGAGAAATCTGAGCTTTCTCTCGACAGGTAATGACAGTGATTTTGCTGCACAACATGTGCAGGAGAATGTGCTTCCTCGCCCCTGCCCTACCCTCTCTGGGAGAAGAGGGCTGCCTCCTGGGTTTGAGACTTAAGTTAGAGGGAGGGCAGTAAGACAGCCAGGGGCTCTGCACAAGCCCTGAAGGCCCAGGAGTGATCAATGCAGGGAGGCAGGAGTGGACACCCCCATCCGGGCCAAGATAGGGCTAGTGGTCTGCTGGGACACCCTTGCAGAAATGATTGCTTTCTTGGGTTTGGTGTGTGGTGGATGGGGCTGACAAGAGTCAGGGTGTCTGGTCACTGTTCAGCTGCTGCCACCAACCATGTGATCCAGGGCAGGTCATTCATGCCCAGGGACACCACGTCTTAACTTTTCATGAGGTCTTGGATCTGATTACTCCAGTGATCCTTTGAGCTTTGGATTCCCATACCTTGAGAAGGAAAGGACCATCTGAAGGCCTCAGCTTGGACTAGTATACACAGACACACACACACACACACACACAAACATAACAGACACAAACGTAACACACACAAACATCACACACACACACACACACACACACACACACACGATATAGTACAGTGCTCCTAGTGGCTGTTCTTACAGAGTCAGCCTTCATAGGAAAAATGGTTAATAAATTACAGATTGTGCAGCATGAATACTTCTGATGTGGTCTGCAGCCATTTACACTAATTAAAAAAATAAACACTCTAGTCCCCCCTAATCCCGATAATGAACCTCTTTCTAATTTTTATAGCAGGAGGTTTAAGCTGTCTCCAAACTGTCGTAATTAATAGAGAAAAAAGAATGAGTAAAGGAAAAAGAGAGTAGTTGAGCCCAGAAATTCTCCTGCTTAGGGGGCTTGTGGTAACAGGCCCAGTGTGGACATGTGACATTCTGGGGGCAAACATGAAAAGACCAAGCATGAATGGGTAGAGCTTCAGCCACCCAGTTGGGATCAGTGCTGTGTAATTTAAGGACATCTCAGGGTCACCTGTGGGAATGTGAAGATTAGAGGGATCTTTTGCCTAGGAAAAAAGTCCAGAAAGAGGTAGAGGTTTTGGGTTTCTGGTTTTGGGCAGTGTTGACAGTCTGTGGCATCTGCTCCTGACCACTGCTGCCCCCCTGCCGTCTCTAGGTTGAGGACCTTGCTGCAGCTGAAGTGGCAGCGCTCACTGTGTGAGCCAGGTGAGGCCGTGGGCCTGCTGGCCGCCCAGAGCATCGGAGAGCCCTCCACCCAGATGACCCTCAACACCTTCCACTTTGCAGGCAGAGGCGAGATGAACGTCACCCTGGGCATTCCAAGGTGTGGGGCACATGGGAGCATGGGGTGGGATCTGTCCTAGGCTCTCCTGGAGGAGTCATTTAATGAGAGAGAGAGAGAAAGAGAGAGTATGTGTGTGTGAAAGAGAGAGAAAGAGTGTGTGTGTGCGCAAGAGAGAGAGAGAGACAGAGTCTCATCAAAGTGGGGATCAGGGTTAGAAGTTCCGGAGTCTGGCTGGGTTTGAAATTCTTTGGTACCCAGGCCTGGTAGGATCTCCATTTATCCTTCTGCCAACCCCTGCATCCAAGTTCCTGGAGATGCCTGTGAGACCACACACTGCTAGGGGAAGGACTCAGGGATGCACATTGTTAACAAGCCCCACACAGGGTGCCTGGTTGTCCAACTCCAGGGGAACCATTCACATAGAACGTGCCCTACATGGTCCTGGGCCCTGGCCTTTCAGGTAAACATATGCGCTGGGCAAGAGGAATGAGTGTGGGCTCACACCCATCTGCATTCAGTCCCTGGCCCTCCCTTTTTCTAGCAAATGAACTCTGGACAGGTACCTCAATTCCCAAACCTCAGAGGGCCCCCCTGTGTAAGGCCGGAGGCTGGGGCCCACTGTACAGCTGGGCGGTGAGGGCTAGCTGAGCGCAGCAAGAGTACTGTGGGTGCTGATGCCTTTCCTGCATCGCTTGCTCATTCAGTAAGCATCAGCAGACACTTGCTGTTTGCAAAGCACAAGTGATAGGAAACAAGAATCAGACAAATCCATGAGCTCAAAGAGTGGGCAGTCCAGGGAGGAAACTGACAGGGGTTTCCTCTGTCACACACAAGGCCAGACCTGGGATTCTCTGATCCAGCATATTATCCCTGTGAGATCCCCAGGCCTCTCTCAGATCCCAGAAGAACTCTGACATCATTAGAAAGAGCTGCACCCAAACAGAGGGTCTGGTTGCCACTCATGATCGGATGTCCTCTCATTCTGTGACAGGTTGCGGGAGATTCTCATGGTGGCCAGCGCCAACATCAAGACACCCATGATGAGTGTGCCTGTGCTCAACACCAAGAAAGCCCTGAAGAGAGTGAAAAGCCTGAAGAAGCAACTCACCAGAGTGTGCTTAGGGGAGGTAACTGTCTCTCCCTCCCGGGCTGCAGACGGGGTGAAGGCATGTGCCTATGTCCTCCCCATCTGTGAAGAACAGGCTTTGCTTACTGCTATGACCCTGGGCTCAGATTCCCACCAGTGAGAGATAAGCTGTCTCTGCTAGGTGCTGAGCAGAGACAGATCAGGAAGCTTTTGAGAGTCATTAGTTCCACAGCATCCTCCTATACCTGAAAAATAAACCATTTCCTGAGTTTGCCTACCAGCTCTGCTGAGGCCACTTCTGGGAGGTTCAGCCCACTCTCTGGAGGTGACTGCAAGCTGTGGGCCCCCCAGCAGATCCATACCAGGGTTTGGCCTGTGGTCCTAGCGGCTGTCTGTAAACCCTTGGGTCTCATAACCCACTTGCATTGCACAGTCAGCTGGGACCTGAACAAGTCAAGTTCTCTCTGTCCGTCTGGTTCCAGGTATTGCAGAAAATTGACGTCCAGGAGTCCTTATGTATAGAAGAAAAACAGAACAAATTCCGGGTGTACCAGCTGCGGTTTCAGTTTCTGCCACATGCGTGTTACCAGCAGGAGAAGTGCCTGAGACCTGAGGACATCCTGCACTTCATGGAAACAAGGTCAGGGCTCAGGCTGTTACTGTCATTGACCTTGACCCAGAGAATGTTCTTGACTGAACTGGGGCTGGAAGCACCTAGCCACAGGGCTCCTAGCGATTGAGTGCCTTTGCCCAAATGAGTCCTTTGAGGGAAGAGTTTAGGAATACAGAAGGCCCTGCAGCCTGATCTGGAAACCTCACACCTAATCTGGCTGTGGGTGTGACTTCGTGAGCCACATATCACTCTCTGAGCCCATTTCTTCTTTTGGGTTGATGTCAGGATTGTTGTCTTCTGGGGCTTGCAGGCATTAAGACATGGAAATGTGGGTGTGGTAAAGAGAAGGGAGCACCGTCAACACGGTGCTTCTGTGGTGTCAGAGCAGCATATGCTATTAATGTTTGATACGGTTTTACTCCAGGCAGCATAATGTGGTTCCTGATGCATTTAGATTCTGTGAATAGTGAACAATGCGCAGATGGCATGCTGCTCTTAGACCTCCATTCTATTACCAGGATTGCCTCCAGAGAAATTCCAGTTCCTGTCCAGTAGGGAAAAGGAACTTTTGTCTCAAGTTCCAAGTTACTGTTAGACATGCGAAAAGCAGAGGCCATGATGCTAAGTTCAGGGGAGCAGGAAGATGGGCTCTTTGGGGCCTGGGACAATCCTGGAAGAGCCTGCGAAGCAGTTTTGACTCACCAGCTGACCCTAGATGGCGAAGAGTGAACACAAGTGCTGCATAGCCCAGCAGGTGACAGGCCAGTGAAGCAGGTTTGGAGGCCCCTGGCAGACTGAAGAGTGTGGAGCCTGTGTCCGGGGGCACCTGTTACCATGCAGGAATGGGGGCCAGGGTCACCAGATCTTTTGATTTAAAAAGAAAGAAAACAAGCTTCCTGCCCCTGCTTTTTTTTTCTTTCTTGGGTCACTTGATTACTTGCTTTTGCTTTTATATAAATGAGATCTCCTAACTTTTAAACATCAGCAACTAATTCGTGTTTTTTTAAAAGCCCAGTAAGGACCAGAGGGATCTGATCTGTTGCAGGATCTGGCCACAGGCCACTGACCACTGCCTCTAATCTAGACCAGTTCTCGGGTCTTCTGGGAGCTGCTTCGATAGAGAAGCAATGACAGAGCAGAAGCAGAAAGCTCCCTGCACTCAGCCATCCCACAAACACATACTGAGCAATGCCCATTCGTTGCCAAGTCACAGGCAGGCATGAGCAACACAGCACAACTTTTCTGCCCTCAGCCCTCTGCCCTCTCACCTTATGGGGCCTGGCCTCAAGCCAGCCCTCTCTGCAGGTGGCATTGGGGATGGTGGGTGTTGTAGAGGAGCCTGGATGTGAACTCAGTCCTTTGGATGGGGGTCACTGGCCAGTTGCTTCTTGCCCCAGTTCACAAGCCCTGGGGAAGTTGTTGTTGGCTGGGCCTTGGGAGCACCTGCATTGGTGCCGGCCTAGGCTGAGAACATTTCTTCTGTCGAGTTGTCCTCCGTGCTGTAGGGCACTGGACAGAGTGGCAGAGGAGTGCTTCATGCACCAGCCTGCCAGCTCCTTAATGAACGGCGAGGAACATAACTAGCAAGTGCGGGGGGTTTGTGCTGGCCTGGCAGCCATTTTCTGGGAAACGGGAATTCAGATTTCATGGCCGCTTGAGAATAACCAGGGATGGGCAGAGTTAAATCTTCTGCCCCAGTTCTGTTCACAGGAGGCCCAGGCCTGCCCAGCAGGTAAGTTGGCACGAGGTCGGTGCCAGCCCGTGCCGGGGTTCTTTTTACTTATATTACCTCATGGAATTGAAAATAGGAAATCACTTTTTAAGACTTCTTCCTGATGAGAGATAGCCCTGGCTTGTTCCCAGCTGTGAAGTACTTTTTCAACTCCTCCCTGCATTTTGCTTGTGCACTTGAAAAGCTGAGCTGTGATAAAGCTATGCCAATAGCTTTCGGTGGAGATGGCCTCAAGGACTCAGCAGAATGGGCTGAGGGGTTAGGCAGAGCCAAAAGAAGGGCTGTGGATGAGCTGGGTGCTGTCTGGACTCCCTTTGTCTGGCCCTAGGCAGCAGAGCAGCTGCCTTCAGGCGTCTGGCTTCCCACAGGAAATGGGAGGAGGTGTGAGTGCACTTTCAAAAGAGCAGCCAACCCCCAAGAATAGTTTTCTCCTTCCTTTCTCCCTTCCCTCCCCTTTCCTTCCTCTCTGCAACCCTCCTTTTCTTTCTCTTTGCCCCTACCCTCCCTTCTCCCAGCTGTGGGGTCAGGAGACTCTTGACAGAGCCTGGAGAAAAAAATCATGAGACAGATGGTTCCCTAGGTAGAGATAAACAAGCTTAGAAGGCCCCCCGAATCTCTGCCCTGGCACCCATCAGGTTGACTGTGTACATTGTCTGGCAGGTGGCGGGGGAGGTGAAGTGGAAAGAGCACTGAGCTAGGAGTTAGGAGTTAGGGGCTGTATGTTTTGGCTTCCGGTCCCCAGCCATGAAAAGACCAAGCTGACAGTCTGTAATTGTAGCTTCTGTGAATCTGACTTTCCAAACAGCAGGTGGTGGAGTTGTTGCCAGGCGCTTTCAGAAACCACCAGGGGTCATGTGCTCTGTAATTATTTGTGTGGGATGGGAGGCTTCTCTGCCACCTGCCCCTCCTGTTCCCTTTTAGTTGCTACATTCTGATGAACAGCACAACCTTGAGTAGGCAGTCAGTTTGGGCCATTAGTTCCCCTGCTCTTGGCAAAATCACAGGAGGGCAAATTGCACCTCCAGGAAAACTGGCACACTGCTCACATGCCTACCACTTACTCACCAGGTGTTCATTTTGTCTCCTCACCTTCCCTCCGCAAGGCCTGGTCACCAAAAGAGGCAGGCAAGGTAGACAGCATTCCCAACTGGGGGAATCAGGGAGGGCTTCTTAGAGGAGTTACATCTGCTGAGGCCCAGCCTTGAAGGATGGGTACAGCTTCAGTAGGTAGATATTGGCTAGGAAAGTTGCTGGCAGAGTGAGCAGCTCAAGCAAAGGCCCAAAGGGTGCCTTGTGGGGAGGGAGCAGATGGGCATTTGGAGTTGAGGCTGGATGTGAGATGCTGGGGGCAAAAGCATCAGAGCCGTGACATTGCCACAGGTTGAGACAGGCCGAGGCGCCCAGCTGCGGGAAGCAGCCCCGTGTGTGGGAGCAGCTGAGCCTCGCACCCCCACCCTGTCTCATTCCATCTCTTCTGCTCTGCGCAGTAGCCTCAGGCGCAGAGTGAGAGTGATCCCGTATTACAGATGAGATCGAGGCCCTCCTCTCCAGTTTGTGGCAGGACAAGGACTTTAACCTGAACCTGTCCTTACAGAAACATCTCTCCTGCCCCCTCTTTCAAGTGGGATTCTATTTTTCTAAAGTCATCTGGCCATCCTGTTCCTGTCCCCAGTGCCTGGTGAAGAAGCTCTTCTCTGGATTCATGGATAAGGGGGCTTTTTTCTGCTAAGGGTAAACGACGTACACCTTTAAAAAGTTAAAAAATAATATTGGAGTCCAGGTGCAGTGGCTTATGCCTGTAATCCCAGCACTTTGGGAGGCCAAGGCAGGTGGATCACCTGAGGTCAGGAGTTCAAGACCAGCCTGGCCAACGTGGTGAAACCCTGTCTCTACTAAAAATACAAAAATTAGCAGACTTGGTGGTGGGCGCCTGTAATCCCAGCTACTCAGGAGGCTGAGGCATGAGAATCCCTTGAACCAGGAGGTGGAAGTTGCAGTGAGCCAAGATGACACCACTGCACTCCGGACTGGGTGATAGAGCGAAACTCAGTCTCCAAAAAAAAAAAAAAACAAAAACAAAAACCAAGCAACCAAATAATAATAATAATATTGGGGTGGGTGAGTGGCATTGTTTCATTTATAATGAGCAAAATTGTATACGTTGGACCTGCCTACTTTTCAAATGAAGACTCTAAGCTCCTTGAGGCCAGGAGCCTGTCTTTTCGTCCTTGCTTTGCTACCAGGGCTGGCACATGCTGGGCACAGTATAGGTGCTCAGAGAAAATGGGACAGCTGGCTGGACACGTGAGGGACCCAATTCTCAGTCACAAGCAGCCCTCTTGGTGTGCTGTTCTGACCTTTTGGAAAAGACAGGCAAGGGATTCTATGCAGCAAGAAGTGGTATGGATGGGACAGGGTAGATCCTAAGAGGCCCTCAAAATAGATGGCTCTGGAGAAGGTGGAGAGGGCCAGGTTCTGAGCCTCAGCTTGGTTCTTTTCAATTGGTTTGGTTCTAACCTGTTGACACCATTCATTGCCACAAGCCAAGTTATCCCTGCCCTTCGAAATTCTGAGGAGCCCTTCTGAAATCTTCATGTTTTTTTCTTTTCAAGACGGAGTCTCACTGTGTTGCTCAGGCTGAAGTGCAGTGGCACAATCTCAGCTCACCACAGTCTGCACCTACCGGGTTCAAGTGATTCTTCTGCCTCAGCCTCCCAAGTAGCTGGGACTATAGGCGTGTGCCAACATGCCTGGCTAACTTTTGTATTTTTAGTAGAGACAGAGTTTTACTATGTTGGCCAGGCTGGTCTCAAACTCCTGACCTCGTGATCCGCCCACCTTAGCTTCCCAAAGTGCTGGGATTACAGGCGTGAGCCACTGCGCCTGGCCAAAGTCTTTGTTCTTTCATCACTTGCTATAATGGGAGTTCTCTGGCTGGAGCAACACCCCCTTCGGGAGATGCTACAAGTGGTGGGTGGGGAAGGTTCTAGTTCTGGGTGGCATTCCCTCTCCTACAGTAGACCCTGCCTGCCTTGTTAGAGGTCGACCACAGCGGCACCAACAACTGTCCTTCACCGAGCACCCACTCTGCCAGGCCCTGTGAGAAGAATCAGACATAGGGTTGTTTCTCATCGTTAGCAAACAAGGTTGCAGAATCCATAGTAATTCCCATACTTTCTAGACAAGGGGCTTAAAGCTTAGGAAGCTGCCTGTCCCACTTGTACCCTGAGGATGGCAGAGCTCATATTGAAACCAGGCCTGTCAGTCTGTGGAGCTGGTGTTCCTGACACGCCAGAGATGGTTCCAAAACAGCGGGTAGGGAAAAGCGAGCAGCTAGGAGGGGTGGGCCCCCATCTCATGCACTAATCCCCTGTGGGAATGGGAATCCCTCAGCATCCTACCCCCTGAAATGAGGGCAGAGCTGGACATGCCGTACTGCACAGGGCTTTGTTGCTTTCTTCTCATTTCAGATTCTTTAAACTTCTGATGGAATCCATCAGAAAGAAGAATAATAAAGCATCAGCTTTCAGGAACGTAAACACTCGAAGAGCTACGCAGCGGGATCTGGACAATGCTGAGGAGTCCGGGAGGAGTCGGGTGAGTGAGTCCCCGGGGGTCACTAGGGTCACACAGGGAGAGCCTCCAGGCTAGGCAGGCTCTGCGCCTGTTCTCTGTGCTCCTCCAGCCCGGTCCTGGTGCTGGCCCATCTCCTACCTGCCTCAGCTTTTACCTGCTGTTCTGAGAGAGCCTGGAAGCAGCATCCACTTCTTGGCCTGATAGGCAGGCAGGCAAGGCTGCCAGGCAGCATAGTATAGCCAGCCCCAGGGCAGGCCTCTGCATCATCTCTCTGCTCTCCAAGACCCTGCTGTGAGTGGTCTTCATCCTGAGCAGGGGCTCAAGGTAATGGCGTGTGCTGAGCCTTTGAAAGTTCTTTTTCCAGTTTCCTTTCGCTCTGCCTTCAACTTGCCCAGGCCAGATGAACTGAGGCCCACCAGGGCACTGGCAGGGACCAGAGACATATCTGGAAACAGGGAAGTTGGGCTGCAGTGACAAAAAGGTGAAGAAGAGAGAAAAACCAGTAGGAGCAAAATAGTCCAGATAAATAATCAGACATCTGCCAGGGGACCCAGGAGCAGGCCAGACCTAAGGGTGGTGTGGGAGCAGGTCCCTGGGTGCTGTCTAAGCCAACGGCGAGCCTGCTTGGGCTGGGGCATGACGTGGACTGGGACTGCCTCCACCCAGCTCTGTGGTTCCAGTTGTGTCACCTCTCTCTGGATCTGTCCCCTCAGCCCTAAAATGAGGGGCTGGCCTAGGCCAGGGAAAATGCTAAGTCTCTCCTGCTCTGTGAGTTCACCTGCTGGCTCACTCAAGCATAAGCAGGGACTATCTTTAGAATGCTGTCTGGTCTTAATTCTTAATTCATCCAGAAGGAGAGTATAAAAAACTGGGAGTCAGGCTGGGTGTGGTGGCTCATGCCTGTAACCTCAGCGCTTTGGGAGGCCAAGGCCGGCGGATCACGAGGTCAGGAGATCAAGACTATCCTGGCCAACATGGTAAAACCCCATCTCTACTAAAAGTAAAAAATAATTAGCTGAGCATGGTGGCATGTGCCTGTAGTCCCAGCTACTCAGGAGGCTGAGGCAAGAGAATCGCTTGAACCTGGAGGCAGAGGTTACAGTTAGCCAAGATGCCACTGCACTCCTGCCTTGTGACAGAGCAAGACTCTGTCTCAAAAAAAACAATGGAAACAAAAACTATGAGCCAAGCTCAGGAGGAGAAAGAAAGAGAGAGGTACTCAGTATTCCACCAAGACAGCCCTTCCTCCTCATCCCCACTTGCAACTGGGTTTGATCAAAAATACTTGGAACAATATTTTACACCATCTTCTTTTAAGAAAGCAAGCCCCAGCACTTTTTTTTTAGTTTTTAGGAATCAAACTTTGCATGTAAGTGGTGCATGTAAAAATGAATACTGAAGGGAGGCCTGAGATCCGGGAATTGACAGAGTAGATGCCGGGTGGATGGGTTGGGTTGGGTGTCGGGATGGAGGGTGGTAGCTGGATGGGGAAAGGGGTTAGAAGAGTGGGACATGGATGGATGGATGGATGGGTGGATGAGTTGGTGGGTGGGTGGCTGGGTGGATGGATTCACTGAGCACTGGATATTGGAGTTAATCTTCCTTGCACCTAAACCACAGGGAGAGCAGGAGGGCGATGAGGAAGAGGAGGGGCACATTGTGGACGCTGAAGCTGATGAGGGGGACACCGATGCCTCTGATGCCAAACGCAAGGAGAAGCAGGAGGAGGAGGTGAGAGATCCTGCACTGGGGTGAAGGGGCTATGGTCCCAGCCTCCTTCCCTGTTAACCTGGAGGGATCATCTCCCGGCACCCAGGCCACACCTCTGTGTCATGCCACGAACCCACAAGGAACCCTGACGCAGCACCTGCCTGCTTAGCATAACCTCTCTTTTGAAAGATGGGCTTCATAGTGTGGGAATTTGGCACAGGGCCGTTCAGGGTGGCCCTTCAGATCTGGCCATCCCTGGACTTGAATCAGAGTCAAGGACCCAGACAGGCTTCTGGCAAGAAAAAGTCAGGCTGCCTCTGGTTTTTACAATGAAAATATGCCTCTTTCCCCTCCCTCAAACCAGTCCCCTGCCATCACAGTGGCTGCAAGGACAAAGGGCAGTTTAGAGGGGCCGAGGGAACTTACTGGTGAGTGGGTGTACCAGTGAGGGCCGAGTGAGGGTGAGCTCCACCTCTGTGGGGTGCTCAGTTGGACAGAGCAGTAGCATTCTCAGGGCAAAAGGAAGAAGAAAGGCCAACCAGGCCGGAGCAGAGGAGCCATGAGTGTGGAGCAGGTGGGGCTGGGTAGCCCAGGCAGCCAAGGCTTTGCTCGGATCTTTGTTCCACAGGCAGAGTTCAGGTAGACCCCAAATGACACAGCCTGCGCTCCCTTTCCTGCCAGGTTGATTATGAGAGTGAGGAAGAGGAGGAGAAGGAAGGCGAGGAGAATGATGATGAGGACACGCAGGAGGAAGGGAACGCCCACGGGGAAGGTGCTCAAGAGACCCAAGAGCAAGACGAAGAGATGGCTTCAGGCGCTGAGGAGGCCCCGTCCCTGCCCGCCCTCCTGACACAGCCCCGGAAATCCACCCACAGCCAGGAGCCCCAGGGGGCCGAGGCCTCGAAGCACCGGGTCCAGGCTGTGCGTGAGATCCACTCCTTCATAGAGGACTACCAGTATGACACCGAGGAGAGCCTGTGGTGCCAGGTCAGTGTGGCCGTGCAGGCCAGGGCTTGGGTGATGAGTCCAGCTGGACAAGTGCCTCTGGGAGGGGCTTGCTGAGCTCCCCTGCACCACTGAGCAGCAGGCAACCCATGGTCTCCCGCTCAGAGCATACTCAGGTTTTCTGTTTGGGGCCTATGAGAGTCAGTTGTTCTTTTTAATCCCAGATCCCTTTAAGAATCTGGTGATGGCTATAAACTCTCTGCCCGAAAAAGGGCCCACACGTATCATTTTCAAACCCTGGTAAGGCAGTTCTCCCTGATCTTTCAAGACACAGGACTGATCTACCAGGCCCTTTAGGTATTTTCAAATACACTACCTCCTTTAATCTTCAGTACAACAGACGTGTTAACATGGACAACACATGTTATGGAGACGCTGTTCGTGCCTGCAGGCAGGGGCACTTCAGTTCCCCACACACAGCCCCTGCCACCATCTTTCTAGGGATTTCACAGTTCCCTTAAAGCCTGGATGGTCTGGATGCCTAGACATGTACACACACTTACGCTTTGTCTTTCCTTAGATCCAATTCAGTAGTTCCCAAGTGAATGGGGTAATAACAAGAATCACACACGGGAAACAGCATGTACCATGCCTTGTGGTCTTTAACGACATTCAAGGCAGTGCTGAGCCGATGTGAATCTCAGTGTTGTCACCGACAGCTGTGAAAACATAGCCCCACTGTTTCCCCCTTGAATCTGGGGGACTGGACGTGGCTGACCTATCCACGGTTCACAGTGTTCAGACTACCCACTGGCTTGCCCAGCAGGACCACCTTCCCCCAGTCGGCGAGTTCCTGAATAGGCTTTGAAGGAGTCTCACCCCATTCCTCTTTGTGGGGGCTGGGGTGGCCGTCTCCCTACCCATCTCTCCCTCCTTTTGCAGGTGACAGTGAAGCTCCCTCTGATGAAGATCAATTTTGACATGAGCTCCCTGGTAGTATCTTTGGCCCATGATGCCATTGTCTATACAACCAAGGGCATCACTCGGTGCCTCCTGAATGAAACGACCAACAGTAAGAACGAGAAGGAGCTTGTGCTAAACACAGAGGGAATCAACCTCCCGGAGCTGTTCAAGTATGCGGAGGTATGTGTTCCCTCACAGGCTGTCTACTGGCCTGGGACAAAGCAGTAGCCCCCACCCCACGTTGTCTCAGGACCCAGCCACCAGGAGGCTCACTCCAGCCGATTTACTCTGGCCCTTCCTGAACTATTCGTGCTTCTAGGCTACATTCCCCAAACCAAGGGTGTGTGCCCTCGCCCGCCTCCCCAGGATTCCCGGGCATGTTAGCCTCATTCAGGCCCACAGTAAAGCACCCTGCTGAACTTTCTCCAGCCCACAGTCGCCTGGGCTAATTTGAGTAGAGGTTGTTTTTTTTTTTCTTTTTTTTTTTTTTTCAAGATGGAAACTCACTCTGTTGCCCAGGCTGGAGTGCAGTGGCATGATCTTGGCTCACTGCAACCTCCACCTCCCAGGTTCAAGTAGTTCTCCTGCCTCAGCCTCCCGAGTAACTGGGATTGTAGGAACACAGCACCATGCCTGGCTAATTTTTGTATTTTTAGTAGAGGTGGGGTTTCGGCATATTGGCCAGGCTGGCCTCAAACTCCTGACCTCAGGTGATCCAACCTCCTCGGCCTCCCAAAGTGTTGGGATTACAGGTGTGAGCCACTGTGCCCGGCTTGAGTACAGTTTTTCCTTCAAATTAAAACCTTCCTGAAGTAGAGTTGTAAGAAATCACTGCTGCATCACCTGCCTGGATGCTGCGTGCTTTATCTGTTAAAGGGGGTCCCAGGGGTGGAGGTGCCCGGCATTCCTGTCCCACCTGCTCACCGGCTCATCTGTCCTTTCCTCTGAGCTGTGTCTCCAAGTTCTCGCACTTCACTAACTCTCCCAGAACCTTCTGGATTTCCCCCACAGAACACAGGACCTGGGGTCCTCTAGCCTAACCCCCCAACAAGTCTACACTAGGCTGGGAAAGCTCCCCCTGCCACATACACTTCTGCCCCCACCAGTGACCACCGTGCAAAGTCCCCTGCTCTCCTGACCCCTTTTACCAAACCCTTCCCAGAGGATGAGCAGGGAGGATTGGCACCCATCTAGAGTGCAGGGCGAGAGTCTCCTCCAAGACAGGTCAGCTGCAGTCTCGGCCCCTTGGTGAGGCCCAGCAGACACCTGTGTGGCTGACCAGTCCCCACTCTACACACCCTGGAAGGGTCTTTAATGTGTCACTGCTGGGGGAACTCACCTCCCAAAGGAAGCTTTAATCCTAGTAAACAGGGCTCTCAGTTTAAAAATAAGAAGAAAAAATCCTTTTCTTCCTATTGAATCTAAAGCGTGTCCAAAGTCATCCCTGGATTCTTGTAATGACGAGACAGACCTTGGGCCCCAGCCAGCGAGCCGTCAGCACCTCTGCCTCAGCATTTCCTTCTGCTAATCCTGGGCTACCTCTTGACCACTTTGTCATCAGCTGTACCGAGCTGCCAGACACAAGGCGAGAGAGAGCGGCCAGGGGGAGATATGCAGGCAGAGGGAGCGGAAGGCCAGACCCTCAAAATAAATCCCTTCCTTCCTCTCCAGATCCTGGATCTGCACCGCCTCTATTCCAATGATATCCACGCCATGGCCAACACGTATGGCATCGAGGCTGCACTGCGGGTGATTGAGAAGGAAATCAAGGATGTCTTTGCCGTGTATGGTAAGAGGAGCTTGCAGGCAACACCCTGAGGTCTGGGTGCCAGTCAGGACACCAGAAGGCTCGGGGAAGGAGGGTCAGGACCATATCGGTCCAGCACTGAGTAAGGCGGGGACTGAAGCACAGATGCAGTGAGCACACCTGTAGGAGACTTCAGATCTGCAGAGAAGTGACAGCTCCCATCACTGGCTGCTTCGTTGGTGTCTCATCTGCTGGTTCCTTTGAGGAAGCTCCTCATTGATGACTTGGCCCCATTCTGCCTTTCCCCAAAGGCAGTTCCCAAATGAAAACAGTGTGGTTAGATCCTTATTGCCTGTGCTGCTGGAGGGAAGTGGGAAGCAGGATGCAGGGGTCAGGGAAAGATGCCCCAGAGCAGAGGAAAGGGTGAAGTAGTGTGAGCAGGTGGCGCAGCTGCAGGGGAGCCCCGGAGTCTCACTCCAGAACCACGTGCTGATGTGGAGGCAGCCTAGCTGTGTCTGCTGACTGTTCCCATGGTCACTGCTTAATCCCTCCTGATTTTACCTCCCGTGTGACAGGCATTGCAGTCGACCCTCGCCATCTCTCCCTGGTCGCTGATTATATGTGCTTCGAGGGTGTTTACAAGCCACTGAATCGCTTTGGGATCCAGTCAAACTCTTCCCCGCTACAGCAGATGACATTTGAAACCAGCTTCCAGTTTCTGAAGCAGGCCACCATGCTGGGTCAGTGTGTGGGCAGGTGCCCTGGCCTCCCCTCTTCTGACCACTCTGGGCTTATGGGCCCGCCCATGGGCATCTTTCCTTGCACACCAGTGAGATCTCGGGATCTGAGGGGAGTGGGGGCAGCTGAAGGGGGCTGAACAGCAAACCTGACACCAGCTTCTGTGCTTTGAAGGAACAGGAAGAGGGCCTTCCTCTTGCAAGTGATAGAGCAGGGTTGCCTCGTGATCTCATCAGCTTCAGAGACTCAGGAACTGCCTGAGTCCCAAGGCCTCAGTGTTCAGCCCCCCAGTCCCCTACAGCAGTCCCAGCTTCTACCTCAATACCCTGACATGCTCTTGTGTCTCTGCCAGGATCCCATGATGAGCTGAGGTCTCCTTCTGCCTGCCTTGTGGTTGGGAAGGTCGTCAAGGGTGGGACAGGCCTGTTCGAGCTCAAGCAGCCCCTGAGATAGTGGCTGCTCCAGCACTGTCTGCCCAGCTCCAGGGACCCTCAGTGAGGGCGTGACCCAGCCTGCCTTCTGCGTGAGAGGACCAGGAGACTGGAATCCAGGGTGGTTCCAAGTGACAGCACAGAGCACAGCAGCAACCTTGGGCTTGAAAGCAGTGGGCCTCTGAGCTGGGCCAGCTTCACCTGGAAAGTGACAGAGTTGTTCCATCCTTGCGCCTTCCTGTCTCTGGATTTTTATCAAGGATTATCAAGTTTTCTGAGTCCCCTTGAGATGGCCGGGGCCTCACCTGTGCTGCAGGAGGCCTCTGTGGCGTAACCCCTGAGAAGCCCCCATTCACTGAGAACACCAAGGGGAAGCAGTGCTTTGCTGCAGGGGACCCCAGGTACCTCCAGAGTAGGGAAGCAGGGCTCTGTTGCTGCGAGTGGCCAAGGACAAGAGACAGGATTCCTGGGGGCTCCTGATGTGCAGGAACGTGGAGCCTGCTGCCCAAGGGCTGCTCCTTCCATCCGCTCCAGCCCCAGGGGACACAGTCCACAAGGAGTCCCCAGCAAGACTTCTTCCCTGGGCCAACTACAGGGTAACACAGTTCTCCACTCACCCAACTTCTGTGCCTGGTCAGGGTCGTGGTCCTGCCACCGTGTGGCTAGGTGTCCTTCTAGACCACATGAACCCCAAGGCTGAGGGCAGTCTCTCCAGGTCCACAGCTCATTCCCACACACGGAACCCAGGTCACTGCCAGGGCAATTGAACGGGTTGCCTGGCTTTTCTCTGCTGTCAGTTTGGTGTAGAGATCTATGTCCCACCCTGTAGGCCCATAGGCCCTGCTTATGGGAAGGTACACAGGCCTCGACCCCAGAGGACTGTGTCAGTCTGTACTTGGTGGTCCACATTCCCTCTCCCTCTAGCACCAATAACACATTTCCCTGGCATGGACAGAAAAGACAGGACTCATACAAAGGCTTTGTAAAACCAGAGACCACTTCTATTTTTGTCTACTGATTTCAGCTCAGGGAGAGTAATAAACATCACTGGAACTAGCTGTTAGGAAAGAAAAAATCTTGGGTTTTTTTGTTTTTTTTCTTAAGTTTTTTCCCTTGCTTTGCAGTTTCTGCATTTGGATTTGAGAACACAGGACAGGGATTTTCTTGGCACAGTCAGATCTTGGGTCCCTCTTCTGTTCTTTCCTGTCTGAGGCCTTATGGGGAGAGCTCAGCCTCTGCAGCCTCCTTTCCCTCTGCCCCTGGCCTGTCCCTGCAGTGACCCCCTTCCAGAGCTACCTGCTGGCCCTGTGGCCAGTAGAAGCACAGGGGAGAAGCCTTTATGCAGAAGCTGTGCCTGCCTTGGTATGGGGTGGGAAGGCTGCTGCTGTGACCTTGGGGTAGGGTTGGGGATCAAGGGAGGCCTTGTCAAGGGAGAGTGACCATGTTGCTCCCTCCAGACATGCAATAGGACGCAGCCTGCACCTCCTAGGCCTGTGATGGAAAAGCCTGACAGAAACCAGTACCTCCTAACAGGGTCTGCCAGGTTCACCAAGACATGGGCACAGAGGAATATGACAGTTTTGAGGCAGGCAGGAAGGGCCCAGCCTGAAGGGTAAGGCATTCATTCTTTGAGTTAAAGGGCATGTTCACTTGATGATTTTTACACACACTAGAATGGTGAGAGACCATCCTCAAAGGAGATCACAGAGTAACATGGTGATCGTGACATGGTGGATGGATGAGTATTTGGTTCCGTGGGTTCCACCTCTCCCAGGCACTGAGAGCGCAAAGGGGAAGGAGTAAGCCCTGCATATTGGCCAGTCTGTTACCATAACAATTAGATCAGACCCCCAACCATAATTACCGTATGGGAAGTGAGGGATGCCCTCCTGCCCCACCCACCCCGTGGATCCTGGGCAGCTCTGTTTCATTCCTGTTCCTTTCCTGATGGGTAAGTATTAAGACAGCATATCTGGTTTTCAAACACATTTGGGAGCTTGCACATCCTGAGGAGCGAGGACTCTCACTGTGGTCCCCTTAGAGGATTACACTCTCGCTTCGGTTGTTCTCTATGCTCGGAAGCCTCTGAGAGTGGCCTTCTTGGCAGTTTAAGATGGCAGAGGCTTTGGAATCTTCTCAGGACCGAAAGTGCACATTGAGGATGCATTTGAGTTTTGGAAAGTAGGCCAAAGTCACATCTGATGGATGGATTCAAAAAGGTGGATTAAGCTGCATTGTCATTTTTAATCAAAATGTAATGGAGATTGATCATCTTGTGGTGGTCACAAACTTTTCATGGGAGCTGTGAATTCTTTTTTTCTTTTTTGAGATAGAGTTTTGCTCTTGTTGCCCAGGCTGAAGTGCAGTGGCACAATCTTGGCTCACTGCAACCTCTACCTCCCGGGTTCAAGTGATTTTCTTGCCTCAGCCTCCCGAGTAGCTGGGATTACAGGCATGTGCCACCATGCCCTGCTAATTTTTGTATTTTTAGTAGAGACCGGGTTTCACCATGTTGGCCAGGCTGGTCTCGAACTACTGATCTCAGGTGATCTGCCCACCTTGGCCCCCCAGAGTGCTGGGATTATAGGCGTGAGCCACCGCGCCCAGCTGAAGCTGAGTTCTTTCAGAGATGCCGTTAGCCAGCCACAGTTTAGACATCCTTCTCACCTTGCCCTTTTTTGTGATATGCATACCTACTTGCTTGCTTCTAATAGTTTTTTGGTTTGTTTTGTAGAGACAGGGGTCTTGCTTTATTGCTCAGGCTGGTTTCAAACTCCTGGGCTCAAGCAATCCTCCCACTGTGCCCTCCCAAAGTGCTGGGTGATGTGAGCCACCATCCCTGGCCAGTTAATTTTTTTTAGTCTCTCCTTTCCCGGTTCTCACCAGAAACACTATCAGCATTCCCACAGTCTTTGAAACATTCCTGTGAGTCTTTGAAACATTTTCTGTCCTGCATTAAGAATAAAACCGAGGAATGGATGAAGCACCTTGTCTCATCCCCAGTCTGAAACGTGAAACTCCCTTTCCCTTCACTTTGCCCTACTCCCAAATAATATGTACAAATGTCTGTACCCATTGAGCACTAATTCCTCATTTCTTCCACCTCCCCAGCCCCTCACAACCACTGTTCTACGTTCTGTCTCTGAATTTGACCTCTCTAGGTACCTCATACAAGTGGAAAAGTACAGCATTTGTCTTTTTGTGACTGGCTTATTTTGCTTAGCATAATGTCCTCAAGATTTATTGATGGTGTAGCATGTGTCAGAATTGCATTCCTGCTTGAGGCTGCTGATCATATGTATATACCATATTTTGTTTAATCACTCATCTGTTGGTGGACACAGGTTGCCTCCACCTCTTGGCTGTTGCAAATAATGCTGTGAATGTGGATATACAAATATCTGAGACCAGGCCGGGCACTCACATCTGTAACCCCAGCACTTTGGGAGGCAGAGGTGGGTTGATCACCTGAGGTCAGGAGTTCAAGACCATCCTGGCCAACATGGTGTGAAGCCCCATCTCTACTAAAAACACAAAAATTAGCTGGATGTGGTGGCAGGTGCCTGTAATCTCAGCTACTCAGGAGGCTACAGGAGAATCGCTTGAACTTGGGAGGTGGAGGTGGCAGTGAGGCGAGATTTTTGTGCCACTGTACTGCCTGGGTGACAGAGTAAAACTCTGTCTCTAAAGAAAAATATCTTAAGACTCTGCTTTTTTCTTTTTCTTCTCTTTTCTATTTTTTTTTTTTTTTTTTTTTTTTTGATATGGAGTCTCACACTGTAGCCCAGGCTAGAGTGCAGTGGCACCATCTCTGCTCACTGCAACTTCCGCCTCCCGGGTCCCAGTTCAAGCAGTTCTCCTACCTCAACCTCCCAAGTAGCTGGATTGCAGGCATGAGCCACCATGCCCAGCTAATTTTTGTGTTTTTTTAGTAGAGACGAGGTTTCACCATGTTGGTCAGTCTGGTCTTGAACTCCTGATTTTGTGATCCACCCGCCTTGGCCTCCCAAAGTGCTGGGATTACAGGCATGAGCCACTGCGCCCCACCAAGACCCTGCTTTTCTTTGAATATATATACCTAGAAGTGGAATTGCTGAATCATATGGTAACTCTTTAATTTTTTTGAGGAACTGCCATCCCATTTTCCACAGCAGCTACACCATTTTACGTTCCCACCAATGATGCACAACAATTCTAATTTCTCCACATCCTTGTCCGTTTATAGTAGCCACCCTAACGTGTGAGGTGCCATCTCGTTGTGGCTTGATATGGGCCATGTTTCAGTCAGATGTTGGGACCCTTCGGTGTCCTGCACCTGCAGAAAGTTAGGAACCATTTAAGGAGTGTCTTGCTTGCCAATCTTAAAATTTTTAGTTTGCTCTTGTATCAGGGGCTGCAGGAGTCCAGACTGCTCTTGAAATAGGAAAGACTTGTCCTTAAAGGCTAATTCGTTGAGTCATTCATCGTTGAGTGATACTGCCTCTGCAGATGGCTCAGTTGGGCAGCCCCGTACCACAGCCTGCCCTTGAGGTTGTGTAGTTCAGAGAGGTCGCAGAGTTGCTGGGCTACCGCAGGTCTCCTGACCCTGGTGCAGTTCTATTTCAATCACAACCACCAAAATAGCTGTGGTCAAAAATTCCCAAGTTCCTACATAAACCTCCACCCTACTTCCGTCCAAAGTCCATTTTAGAGTCTCTCGATTTTGCACCTTGGAACCACCATCAACCTCCACCCCACTTTCATCCCAAGTCCTCTTAGAGGCTCTCAATTCTGCACGTTGGAACCACTTAGGGAGCTTTTAAAAAGATTGATTCTGGCTGGGCACCGTGGCTCACACTTAGAATCCCAGCACTTTAAGAGACCCAGGCAGGAGGATCACTTGAGCTCAGGAGTTTGACTAGCCTGGGCAACAGTGAAACCCCATATCTATAAAAATTATCCGGGTATGGTGGCATGTACCTGTAAATCCCAGCTACTCAGTAGGCTGAGGTAAGAGAAGCAAGTAAGCCCAGGAGTTCAAGGCCGCAATGAGCTATGATCCCGCCGCTGCACTCCAGCCTGGGTGACAGAGTGAGACTGTCTGAAAAAAAGTGATTCCAAGGCCTTGCCCAGAGATTCTGATTTTATTGGCCTGGAGTGTAGCCTAGGCATTAGATCAAGAGAGTCTAAGGTGCAGTGGAATTGAGAGCCATGGACTTAGAAAAAGCCCTGAATCGTGGAAATGCACAGCCACCGTCACCATCTATTGGTACGATGACATCTCAAAGAGTAACTGGCCCTAGGTTTCTGCAGTAAGATCTTAAAATCTGATCTCTGCCCTCAAGTGAGTACGTGTGTGGCAAAGCTGTCACAGTCTATGACGGATGTCTGCAAAGACTTTACAGTGGGGTTCGAAGGATACCACCATCGGCTCTACCTGGGGCTCAACAAAGCCTGAAACAAGAAAGGGTTGATGCTTCCGGCAGAAAGCCGGAGGCCTGCAGCTCTCTGCCAGCCCAGAACATTAGGGAGGCCATTTGTCCAACTTAAAAATCCCTGTCAGCAGGGACAGAAGGAGGGAACTCAGCCAGCCAGTGTTTCCTACAAGCAGCTCCACAAGAGGTTTCCACTTAAAAACTGAAATCGTAATTATTTAATAAGAATCGTGCCTCAGGTTCTTTAAGCAGCATTGCTGTCCTACCATGAGTGGTCATCAAGGAGCTGGGTTTAACTCAACTCCTTGCAGCCATGGTTTATTCACAGGCTCACGTGTCACTGCAGCTCCTCAGTGACTATCTTCGCGCAAGTTGGACTCAGTGGCCTAAAAGTTTTGTTCCAACCCACAGATACATTACCATGTTCATCCTCACCATTCCCTCCCCCGTGCCACATCCAACCTTGATGTCTGCTGCATCCCAGGTGCTCTAAGATGCATGAGCTATGTGGGCCCTGCCCTCACAGAACTTGTAGTGTTGTGCCCCAAACAAGCCAGTTCACCGTCAAAGGTTGAGGTACCCAGCAGGCTTCATGTGAATGTGCGCACTTCCCCCTGATAGGACCATGCCTTGTCAGCTGGCTGCACTCCAGAGGGGGCTTTGTAGGAAGCACAGAGTGGAGAGGACAGTGGGGAGACACTTGGGTGTTCAGCGGCCAGAAGGGAGGGAAATTCAAAAAAGAATCAGGAGTCCAGCCATCCCCTCCACCTCCTGCCCCCCACTTCCTGCTGGCCCTTTGCCCTTGAATACAGATGATATAGGTGTGGCAGTGTGGGTCCAGTCACAGTGCTGCCTCTATGTCTTTTGTAAGTTGGGATCTTCCTTACTCAGAAGGGCTGAATTTCAGGCCCTGCCAGATGCTGCCTTCCGGACTGGCTGCCTACTGCAGTGTTTTCACGGGAGCCCAGCCAGTTCCCGCGCCTGTACTCCAATGTGACAGAGTTTCAGACACCACAGTCCTCAGCTGGACCACAGTGAACACTTGCCTTTCCCAATCCGTGATTTTTGCTTGGAAACATGAACCTGATGTTCCACGTGCATTCAGCCAATCAAACCTCAAGAATGTGGTTGAGCAGTGAAGCTGCATCTTGGGCAAGACACTGAGCTCTAAAATAGGACTTTTCTTGGAATCTCAGGCCCTAAACTTAGAACGGGACCCTAAGAAATGCACTTCAGTTTCCTTATGTTTAATATGGTGATAAACTTAATTGTGTTCATTAAATCACACACAACTATATATGTTTACCTGTATACTAAATTGTTCTCAACTTGGGTCAGTTGTGCCCCCCAGGGGACATTTGACAGTGTCTGGGGACATTTTTATGGCTTCTGGAGCTTTTTTTTTTTTTTTTGAGATGGAGTTTCCCTCTGTTGCCCAGGCTGAAGTGCAGTGGCATGATCTTGGGACACTGCAATTTTCTGGAGCATTTTCTAAGGTACATAGATTGATTGAAAAAGAATGGCTGGGCACGGTGGCTCACGCTTGTAATCTCAGCACTTTGGGAGGCCGAGGCAGGAGGATCACTTGAGGCCAAGTGTTTGATACCAGCTTGGCCAATATGGTGAAACTCTGTCTCTACTAAAGATACAAAACATTAGCCAGGCATGGCACACGCCTGTGGTCCCAACTACTTGGGAAGCTGAAGCACACGAATCACTTGAACCTGAGAGGTAGAGGTTGCAGTGAGCTGAGATTGTGCCATTGCACTCCAGCCTGGGCAACAGAGCAAGACTCTCAAAAAAATTTTTTTAAAGGTACACTACCCATTGTGAGGGATAAGAAGACTACACTTACGGCAGCATGTCCAGTTGTGCTACAGGGACTGTGGTAAGAGCAGAAAATTGCCAGAAGTCAGGAGCAACACAAAGTTTGTGGCTTCTGCTTGGCTCACTTACAAATGCAGGGACTCAGCTTGACCTGGAGCTCACCAGGTGCAGGCTGGCCCCTGTCCTTTAGACCTGTTCATCCATCCACTCCTCACAACCACCCAGTGAGGGAGTACAGCAACTCTCCTCGTTTTACAGTAACCTACCCAAAGACATAGTCAACAAGTCGTGGAACAAGGATTGAAGCCAAGCAGGTAGCTCCAGAGTCCGGGCCCGTAATCTCCCTGTGTCCACCCCCTTTGCTTGGACAGAGCCTGAGGACGGGACTTTGTTGGACGCTGCCCGGCATGCGGCATGGCAGGTATATGTAAGGGCACCAGATCCCTCCCCAGGCCCCGGAATACCTCTTCTAAGGTATGTCTCTAGGAGGTACAGACGAGACTACTAGGAGGTGGGGTCTGCACTTTGCCAAGTTGGGGAGCTGGCAGCTCACAAGAGAGGAAATTAGAGCAAATGAGTAAGTAGCAAGCAGTCACCTTAAGGAACTGAGACTCCCAAGTGATGGCCCAAATCAAAGTACAAGTCAATATTGAGTCTGAGAAAACAGCGGTGGGTTAACCCAAAGGGATCTTCCAGCCTTGGGGCTTTCCTATGGAGAGGACCTGGCTACGGGCTGTACCCGTTACAAAGAACCTTCATGATATCATCTCATCGAATCCTCACAGCCCTGCAGCACATGTCCTGTTGGCCCCATTTCACAGTTGAAGAAATGGGTCTAGAGGTGAAGGGGAGGCCAGGTCCGCTGCCCCTCTTGGAGCTGTGCCTTTGTGTGGGCCTCCTCCAGCATTGTCCTTAGGTTCTGACTGGTGCAGGGTGACAGCTCCTAGGT